AAAATTTGAAGAATTTTGAAAGTGATCTATTTTATTTCAAAAAGTAGAGTGGCTCAATGTAGGCGGAGCTGAACTTAATTGCCAGTTAAACAGAAGTCCTTCCCGCCTACTAAAATATAACCCATCATAATCCTCTTCTTCCTTGTAGTCTTTGTCTTCTCTCTTACTCTCCAGTCCTATTACTTAAACTATTTCACCAACTTCTACAGTGGCTGGATTCGTTTCGCAACATTTAGCCACTGTTAAATTACACGTTTGTTTCAAACCTTTAACCCTCCCACCAATCATTATCATTGATGCTTAATATGGGCATTAAAATGTCATCCAGTAGAAAGTCTGAAACAAAAAATCAATTTAACAAGATAATAAGTAATTGGTAAATAAAAAAGCATTTATAGAATGATGAATAATTTATAACCAGCATATTATAATTGTATTTTGAAAACAAGGTTTGAATGCAATAGGGGTCACCATTTCATTCTCGAGAAGCCGTTGATTGTCTTGAAGTAGTCGATTAGAAAAATGAAATTGGGAATCCCCTCAATTCTCAACAGAATTAGGTAGAAGATATATACAAGTAATTGTCGGCTAATTTAATTAAGATAACCCTCTATCTTGGAGAGTTCAATTAGATCATTAACAATCAAGTTATTCTTCAAAAAGTATTAAAGTTATTTTAGTAAATGTCCATTCACTGTAATAAGGACAAATTAATTTATTTTATTGACATAATAACTTTTTAATAAATTGCTTTTTTCTTCTTGCTCTACGTTTATTTATATATAATAAGTTAACAGTTGTTTTTTAATTTCCCATTAGGAAGTTATTGAAATTGGGTCGATTGGTGAAATTTGAATTTTCATCATATCTTCACGTTTCATGGTATTTGCAAGCATACTGACCAATTTTTAAAATGATGTGTGTGTGTACGTACGTACGTGCGTACGTATGTATGGACGTCAAAATTTTTCTCGTTTTCGATATCTCAAGAACGGATTAAAATATCGACTTCAACTAAAATTAATTCGAAAGATATTATTATAAAGAAGATCTGAGTGAAATTTGAACAAATTCAAACAATAACAATTTCATTTAAAAATTGAGTCGATACTGACTAGACATTATTGTTCACAACCAAATATGACTTTCAACAATTACACATTGTTTATAACAATACGAATTTGTTGTAAACAATTAAAAATTGTATTTATTGATTAAGTAATGTGTATATCACATGGATTTGGATGTTTCCAACAAACATTGATTATAACTATTTAAATTTGTTATAAACAATTACTAATGGGAAGTTCGTCGTGTTAGAACAGACAAAGTGCGCTTAGACCTTTTTTTTTCTTTTTTAAATTAAAAGTACTATCTGTTTTCATCAGAACATTTACATGAACAAGAGAAATTGAAGATATAAAAAGTAAATTTTGTCATAGCAATTAATGTTGAATTATAAAAAGAGAATTCAAGATCGCAAAAGTTAATTACAAAAGAAGATTTTAATTATAAAGTAATTAAAAAGAGATCTGCATTTTTTTTCTGATTTATTTGGCATTTTGTTTCAGGTGGACATGATGTCGTCGTTTGTCTTAGTTCATACTTTACATTACAAATATACAAGATGAGGACGAGTGTTTATACAATTTTCGCTGATGATTTCACCACTGTGTACCTTGTAATATACATCAGAGTAATAAATTAATAAAAGTACGTTCACCACCGAGTTACACTACGATGTTAATTTTCAGTTCGCATGCTATGCACAGTAAGAGAGCAACGGGTTCATGTAATTAAAAAAGCGCCGCAACTTCTGATCTTATATTTTTCTCAACTCTAACTTTCAGCCTCTGAAGATACCTACTTTCTTCCTAATTGTATTTGTTATTTGATTAAATATACACAATGCATTCATCACATTTCTTTTTTTACTTTCATTTAAAAGTTTGAAAATAATTTCATTTAACTTTAAAGTTTTTAATTACATCTTAATAATTTTGAAATGATACCCACCAACTTGTACACAGTTATCATGATTCTGTTTAAATATTTTAGTGAGCATCTTTTAATGAAAAAAAAAAAAAAAAAGGTTTATTTTACTGCAAAAAAATTCAATTATTGCCTCGTAAGATCTTAAAACTGACATTTTTATTGAAAATTGCAAATAATAAAAATCCCACAAAGTTTGTTGATTTTCATTTCATGGCTAAGAGATTAAGTAAAATTAGAAGAGTAATAGTAAAATGACAATTATCACAAAGTTGTTGATTTACGATAAATGTTGGTAATAAATTGATTACGTTAATGTTCAATAAATATGATTATAAATTTTAAATTCAAAACTTATGTAGTGGTGTTTGTTTTAATTAAAGCCACAGCGTGCGGTTTCCAGCCTTAATTTTCTACTTGGCATTAGTACGTTAATCAACTGTTATTTATTGACATGAATAGAAATATTTTTAAATCATGTTAATACAAAATATCTTAGATTTTATTTAATTGTCTTTGTTTTTAATAAAAAAAATATTATTGTATTTTCTCATGTATTTGATTAATTTATTATTATTATTATTATTGTGTATTATTTTATTCCCATGTGCAGCAATCAACTACTGTGTTTTAACGACGTCTTAAAGTCGGTGACATGTATTTAACAACACGAATCAAAGTCCGCTTGAAAAACTTAGAAGCAGATTTTACGCAGATAGATTTCTAATCGTCACAAATCCAATCTTGCGCTTTACTTATTTTGATATAACCCCTAGGAATTATGCATGTTTTCTTTACAATAGATCAAGACCCTTTTGATGTGCAACCAAGAGCCCCATGTGGCTATTTAATGTCACATCACATGCGACGCAAAAAGGTGGAAAATCGGACACAGATTAAAATGATACAAGCTTTTAATGTGACCCTTTTAGTGAAAAAAAATTTTAAATAATTGAATGGATTATTTGTTAGGTATAATATCTTATTTCAAAATTTTTTTTCTAATCTCCAACTATTTTTCTTTATTTTTTTCAAATATAAACTATTTAAGTATTTGTTTTTTTTCAAGTACATGAAGCATTTGTGGTCAATATATTTTTTTAAAAATCTTTAGAGTAAATGAATTCAATAATCAGGTGGTGAATATGTTGATGAATAATCTGAAAAAGTGTCAAAGATATTAGTTTATTTTTGTTATAAAAAAAATTAAGAATTATTTGTTATTGAATGTTATTATAATAAATAAATTATCAATGTGTTAATAGTAAAATACATTTGAAACAAGATTGAAATAATCCCACTGCCATCTATTAATATCCTGCTTAAATTACCAACGATCGATTGTCAGTTAGACCCAATTGGCAACAAAGTTGGAGCTTTGATAGCTAAATTTTTTGAATAAAATCATCATAAAAAATAATTTAGATTAATTTTAAGTGGGATAGATAATTTATATAATTTTTTTGCTTAAAAACAGTCGAAGAAATTTAAAATAATATTTATTTTGAATGAAGATACTCAAAGGGTAAGCAATCAAACAAGAAAACTGAAAGATCTTGCATCGAAATTAACACAAATTACTTTTACTTCTAGAGTTAAATAAAGTGATAATTGGTTTTATTCTTTAAGAATATTTATAATTAAAAAAAAAATTTTGAATAATTATATCAAATACCTTCAGGTTGTTAAAATGAAAAGCTAATAAACTTCTTCAGGATTTTAATGTTTACTGTATAAAATCATAAATTCAGGAACATAAAGCCAAATGTGGTAAAAATAAAGCCAAAATTTTTATTAATCCTCATCCAATCGTTTCTTTCAATCAGCCAACTCTTTGGCTTATATAGGTTTGATTACCATCACATATTTAATTACAGGCACCAACACTTCATTTCAGATAACTAAAATAGAAAACAAGACATTAAATAGACTAGGAGCAGGTTCATCATGATAACTATAAAAATTATAACTTAAATTATCACCAAATGCAGAAAGAAGTTATCAAATTTTCTTCTTCAAACATATTTGTTGATGTTGAATTAGGATGAGAAATAGAAATTGTAATTTTATAATTTATAACACTTGTAACTGTATTTCTTGTTTTCTAAAGTTGAATTAATATCGACATCGAAAATACAATATATAAAAATTTATAAATAATTCTATTTTATTTCAACAATAAATTTAAAGTATTTTTTTATTAAATGAATTTATATTTAAATATTTATCAATACTTACCTGACAAAATACGTTAGCAAAAAAACTGATAAATGTTTTTAAGAAATTTATGATTAGTAGCTGTCAAAAATGGTTATTATTTTTATCAATTCACTTTTTTCTAAGCAATCATCACTTTCCAAGCCAAGAAGGATCAAGAACATTTATTAAGCACCAAAAACTTGATGCATCTATCATACTGATGAGTATTATTATACTGATAAAAAATATTATTTATCTAACTAAGAGTTTAACTTCAACTATGAAACTTAGTAAGCTAGGATGATTTAATTGTTTTCACATTCTGAGCGACTGTCATGCACTGAGCACTTGAGTTTCCTTCACCTCTTGAATTATACTAATCAATATGTTGATATGGTAATAGAAGAAAGAGTTGACGAGGAAATAAATTTTAAGAAAGCCTATAATTTACGGAAATTTGCAATTCTTCTTTGTTACTTTTTTTATTGGAAAATAGAAGTCCAGCTGGCGACAGGTGACTTTTTCTCAATATTTTTCCCCTTTTTTAACTTTACTAAACCCTAACAAGAAGTTGCTTTTTAAATTATTTATCAACTGTAGCTGCAAGCCATGGTTTTCCCTATCATTATAGAACTATAATAGCTCTAGCTACTTAGTCAACCCTTCTTAAAAAAAAAGCTATGCTTGAGGAGAATATCATTCTCTTACGAGTTCTTGGTTTATGGAAACCTACGGAGGAGTCATATATCTGGAGTTGGATTTACAATATACGAACGTGTATAATATGTTTCATTGTCTTTTCATTCACCATGAATGGCCTTATAAAACTTATCATTTTCCCTGGAACTATGAAAGAAATTATCGATCTTAGTTCGATTATCTTGTCAGCCATTGGTGTATCTGAGAAAGTATATAATCTTGTTAAAAATCATAATGAAATTGAAAACGTCATCAAAACATTAACAACTGGGTATTGTCAACCTAGAGATAATGAAGAAGAATTGATCCAAAGAAAAATAAACAAAGCTGTTCGGTAACTAACTCTTTCCATTTTTTAATTAAAAAATAGCGATAAAAGTATTATTTTAAACTTTTTTCAGCTCTTATACTCTCTTTTATTTGATATTGAATGCATTGACAGTACTAGCAGTATCTATAGGAGATCAATTAATGGATCAATCAATTGGAACTACTTTACCTTATGGTATTTACATCCCTTGGGATTATTCCAATAATCGATTTTTATTTTGGACTGCTTATATATACGAAGTGACCAGTGTAGCTGTATCAGCAAATGCATCAGTAGGTTTTGATAGTCTGTCTATAGGATTGATCATTCAAATCAATGCCAAAATAGAAATATTGAAATATCGCATCAATGCGCTGGTCAGGGAACTTGAATCCATTGATTGGACAGAAAATGGGTCTGAAAATATCAAAAATATGAAAATTCAACAACAAGCTATCGCAGATTTTGTGAAATATCATCTTACAATAATTGAGTTAAATTTTATTTGAATCAATGATTTTAATGATATGAACAAAAAATGTAAAGCAATCATCAATTGGAACTGAATTATTTTATTTTTTGCAGATTAGCTAAAACTATAAACTTATTATTTAATTGGGTAATATTACTCCAGTATTTCATAAGTACTACTGTTCTATGCGCCAGTATATATGCGTTAACATCGTCTTCACAATTTATGGGATTCTTATTTTACTTAGCCAATATGTTAATGGAAATTTTTATCTTTTGTTTTGCTGGAAATGAAATCACACTTACAGTAATTCGTCTCTTTTTATCATTATAATTAGAATAAAGTGAAAAGTGATTTTCTTTCATTCAAAAAGATGTTCCATTTTGTTAGCTTTTCTTTTTAAATAATAATATTTACTTTTTTTAAAAAATTTTTCAGAGTAAAACTATCAGTGATGCCATTTATAATTCTGATTGGACAAAATTGAATAAAAGTTCTCGAAGAAGTTTGCTAATAATAATGAACCGAGCTAATCGACCGATTATCTTTGTTATTGGGAATATCATCGAGCTATCATATGAGTCATTCAAAGGGGTAATTTACCATACTGATCTTTAATTTATATTTATATCTTGACATATAAATTGGATGGATAACCGAGCAAATAGAAATGAATGCCTCAGTTTTCATCCAGCTTGTTTAATTGTTTTTTTAAGTAAAATTGGATTACTTTTACTAACTATTTTTATTTTGTCATTACATAACAGCTTTTGAAATCGTCCTACTCTGCTTACAATGTTCTTAGAACAACATGAAAGATTTAAATCAATAATAGTTTGAATTATATATAATAAAGTTTTTAATCATACCATAATGTCGAATTTATTATTTTCTGTTTCTTCATAATTATTATTTCTTGCATATTTTTTTTTTATAATTATTTGATTACTCGAATCTTTAAATCGATTCAATACAATAATGCATCATCAGCTCAGTTAGCAACTAATAGATGCAATGTAAGATTACGAAAAGCGAATATTGAATGCAGAAAATAAATCCTTCATGATAGGTTAAATATTATTATTGTTACTATTGAAATTATTTGGTTATGTTAAAAATAATTTGTGCTTTATTATTGATATAAATATGATTGTTTTATAATTTAAAAAGTAAGTTTTAAACAATAATTTAACCGAAAAAAGTTCTTTACTTGATTTACTAAGTCATACAGAAACGACATCTTGATGAAAATAAATAAACTAACCATACAAAGACGTAACAGAATATGCGCGCGCTGTCGCGTCGACATCTTGTGCACCACATGACCTCGTTGCCGTGTCCCGTGACCAGCTCACGTGAATTTTGACAAATTCAAACGTTTTTTGACGAAAAAATGGATATTCTAGAGCAACATCTTGAGCAACAGAACACAAGGTAACATTGAATTATAAAATAATTCAAATCTTTTATGAAATTTACTTTCTTTACTTGTCATTTTTTATTGCTTCAAGGTCATTGTAGAGCGCACAGTGCGCACTTACGAACATACTCCGTTTTTTCCGCATTTACTAGTCATTCAATAATTATCTATTACCATTGTAAAGTAGTTTTTTTAATTATCACTAATTAAATAACCATATTTTATCTGTTCCTCAGTACTCCTACCGCTAAAGATGAAGATAGTACTTCTATAGTTATTGAAGAAGCTGAAATAGTTGATTGTGATGGTAAGAATTATTTAGTATTAGTGAATGAAAATCTATTTTTACTGAAAAATAGTTTCAATTCATATTTTATTATTTCTAAAATAAAATTAGTTTACATAATTTCTAAAGCTTTATTCATACAATTTATATTATTAACAAATAGATTTTTAAAATTATTTAAACAATAATATTTATAAAAATTTATTTATTTCTGAATTTAAACAACATTTGTAATCCATGTTTCATCTATGATGAAGCATTTGATCCCCTTACAGCGGAAAATGTGGAAGAGGATGGTGTTCACTACCAAGAAACACTGGCCTATAGAGTTGTTCAAGTAAACGGCAATACTGTGAGCAATGAAATCGAATTACCTATGACAGCGCAAGGGAATAATGCTGTACAAGTTCTCACTTCACCAATTAACAGACAGTTTTATGTCATCGGAAATGCCAACGATGTTTTTACAACGTCACAAGCTACTCGATCGTTAGCACCACGAACAACTACTCTTCAAATTGAAACTCCTAGAAATACTACACCCGGAATTAAAAAAGTAAATTAAATTTTTATTTTTTAATATTCTTTTAAACAATTTTGATTTGATTGCATGATTTTAAAGCTATATGATGTTAATGACGAGATATTGTTTATAGCGAGATGATAGAAGAAGAGCCACACATAATGAAGTTGAGCGTCGACGACGAGATAAAATCAACAATTGGATTGCTAAACTTGGAAAAATTATTCCAGAATGTAATAACAGTACAAGTAATGGCAATGGTGGCAGTGGAGAAGGAAAAACTAATTATGAAACACAGGTAATAATAATAATTATGTATTTATTAAACATTAATACTATCATTAGATGTTTCAAGTATTTTAAGATGATAGTTTAATCACATAATATACGCGATAACTTTCTGAGAAATTCAAGCTAGATAAAAATATTGCATTCTCTAAATTTGATATGATTGGGCGAACTTTAAAACAATTTATTTTATGGTTAAATTATTATATTCATAATTTCTTTGACTCCAGAGCAAAGGTGGTATTCTAGCGAAAGCTTGTGAATATATTGGCGAACTTCGAGCAGCCAATCAAGGGCTTGGACAATGTCTGAGAGATAACGAAAAATTAAGACAAGAAGTTTCTGCATTAAAACAGCTGGTAAACCAATTAAAACGTGAAAATGCTCAGCTCAGGTCTGGAGCAACTGTAAATGTTGTTACGACAAATACAGATATAACTCAACCTTAGTTGTAATGATTCATCATTTGCAATTAAGGAGTGTAAATAATATTCAATCTTAGAAGCCATTATTACAGAGTTCGTTACTATTACAGAAACAGACATTAAAATTATTTTTTTTCTATTTTAATTTTGTTTATTTAGTGACAAGAAAAAATTTAAATAATTTTGTTGAAAAATAGGAATAATTCAACGACTGTACATGGGGGTTTATAATTTTTATTGGAATATTTGTTAAATTTTATGATTTTTTTAAAATAATCTAAGCTATTAAATAATTTACACTGTCTGTTAGTTAATCAAATTAACAAACTTATAAGCAGCTTTAACACTTTTCGATCAGAAACAATCTCGACAATGAAGACTCATGCGCGATAGGCAAGGCTGTGAAAAACAAATGCCCGGTTTGATGATTGATATAATTGATTTTGTACATTTTTCTATTGGTTTTTTTTTTTTAATCTATATTTATGACATTTAAAAATACTAATAATTAAGTTATTTTTGTACCATTTTTTTAAGAATCTGTTGAAAGATTCACTTTTAATTTTATTTTTCTCAGACAATTGAAAGAGCTTCGTAGAAAAAAATATTTCTGTAACTATTCATAAATGATAAACAAAGTAAGGGATCAATTGTGAAGTTAATAGAACAATAAGCCGAAAATATATGTACATATATCTATGTACATGTAAAATAGCAATAATACGAATAAAGATTGACTAAGCACTTAACCCCATGTACAGTTCAATAATTAAAAATAATGAAAAGATTTATTAAAATGCAATGATTAGAAAGTATCATAGACTTGTAATATATTGTTAATGTATATATCGTGGGGTTATTGTTATATAATTATTAAAGAAGAAATTTACATTATAAAAACGCATTCTTTTCCTTACACCTTGACTATAATTAATTATTTAGATGTATAAATAACTAGTCTATCTTACGACCAAAATATGTTTTTTATTTCTTTATTTACTGTTTTTTTTATACATATCATACAGTGGAAATGATATTAGAGCTGCTGGATAACGAAAAAATTTACTTTTGTTTAAGTAATAATTATTCGTTTATCAATTATTAATCGTAGATTATTTTTATGCAATAATCGTCACAAGAACCAGCACCTCGACATATTAAACATTAGCTTTCTTAACGTATCAACGTTAACATATATATTTTTTTTCAATCTATTTAACATCTAAATTCATTCTTAATATTTCTATCATTTAACATATATGATACAGTAACTAATACTTGATGATTCGATATTATTTCAACTTATTTGTAGTTTAATTCATTAAATTATTTACTTTCTTAGCCTGAAAGCTGCCAAACCGCTTCTTATATTTACTCATTTATTTATCTAAACATCAAAGTTTTTTCATCACGAAAATTTCACTTTTTTCATTTGGTCGTCGATAATTATTTTTTATTATAATTTATTTAAATCAGCGGCTACTGGCAAGTATGAGTAAATGATTTCATGTATTTTTTATAATTTATTTATATTTCGATTAGATTAAAATTCTAAAAGTTGATTGAAAATTTCAGAAATCATTTTAAATAATTAAAAATATCATAATTATTATTTTTCTTACATTTTGCACATGATTACCAGCTCATTGTGCGTTTAAGGGCGTTCCATCTTTATTGTCATTAAAAACAATAAACCTATTTTTAAAAATATGTTTCGACATATTTTTTTTAATGTTTTAAAATCAAATGTTAAAATTATCTTAACAACTTATTATGTTGATCTCCAATTAGTTTAATAGGCTGATAAAATATGAGTATTTACATTTTTTATAATCCATCGGCAGTTAATTAAGGCTTTTCATAAATTCATTAAAAAAAGGACTTCTCGGTCCTTAGGAATTTTCTCTTATAACTTATGGAATGCAACCAATATAATAATTTTATTTGCTATTCAGAAGCACTTTTTAATCGTTGGAACGACCCTAAACAACTGGAAAATCTTCAAGCAATTATTCAATTCGATAGGTAATAACAATTAATATATGAACAAACGTTTAATCCTCCAAATTCCTGAATGCTTGTTGAATATCTTCATGCAATTGATCAAAGTCTGCTCGGATTTTGGCTTCTCCATCTTTCACGGGATCCTATAGAAAGAAAATTGATTAATAAAACATTGTATATATTTTTTTTTTCTATTTAAAATTTTTTTACAAACATACCTTAAATTTCATGGAACTTAATTGATATAAAATATTTCCCATACTGTCACGAATAACATTCCAAGTGATTTTGTTGTCTGATTGTGCTGTGGACTCAACTGCATGTCTTGCCATATCATAAAAGGCAATTATATTACGTAACATGCCGACGGTTTTGTAGAATGGACAGAAACGATCATAAGCGGAATAACTAAAATAATATACAAATTAGAGCAACTTATGTAAATATTAATACCTTACTAATAAATATTAAGTCTGAATTAAAATACTTTTTACACTGTTATTATTTTAATACTATACCTGTTTTGTTGAAGGAAATCATCCTTCAAAAGCTTGGCAACTTCAAGAGTAATTTTGTCAGTTTCAGCAAGTGAAGCTTTACCAACCAATTGCACGATTTCTGAAAGATCCTCTTCTTCTTGAAGAATTTCCTTAACTTTTGTACGTAGAGGAACGAATTCTTGGAAATTTTTTTCATAGAAATCATCAAGAGCACGTAAATATTTACTGTATGAAATCAACCAATTGATGGATGGGAAATGTTTTCTCTGAGCAAGTTTTTTGTCAAGACCCCAGAACACTTGTACAATACCAAGAGTCGCACTGGTTACAGGATCAGAAAAGTCTCCTCCTGGTGGTGATACAGCTCCAACAATACTAACAGATCCTTCACGATCTGGATTTCCTAGACATTTTACCCTAAAAACATTATTTCATTAATCTTTGTTCTTTTTATCTAATAGATAAAGATAAAGGTTTTAGGGAAAATTAAATAACTGATAAAAGTATCATGAAAGCTAAAACAACATTACAAATTATTACGCTGCTTACTAGGAACTAATTATTCAATGTAACTAGCAATACCTTCCAGCACGTTCGTAGAAACTGGCAAGACGAGCACCAAGATAAGCAGGATAACCAGAATCAGCAGGCATTTCAGCCAATCGACCAGAGATTTCTCTCAAAGCTTCAGCCCAACGTGATGTAGAATCAGCCATCATCGAAACATTGTAACCCATATCTCTGAAATACTCAGATAAAGTAATTCCAGTATAGATGGAGGCTTCTCGAGCAGCTACCGGCATGTTTGAAGTATTAGCAACCAAAGCAGTACGTTTCATAATACTTTCAGTAACACCGTCAATCTCTACAGTGAGCTCTGGAAAATCTCTCAATACTTCTGACATTTCATTACCACGCTCTCCACAACCAACGTAAATAATAACATCGGAATTAGAATATTTAGATAGGGCTTGAGAAATTACAGTTTTTCCACAACCAAAAGCACCAGGAATTGCAGTAGTTCCTCCTTGAACACAAGGGAATAGTGAATCCAAGACTCGTTGACCAGTAAGAAGGGGATGATTAGCAGGCAATTTTTCTGTGACTGGTCTTGGCTGACGGACAGGCCAAACTTGTAACATAGTATATTTATTTCGTTCTCCATCAAACTCTGTTTCTAAAATTACGTCATCAACTGTGTAATTTCCGGCAGGTGCAATGTAAGTGATTGTTCCTTTACTCTTTGGTGGTAAAATCATCTTGTGCTTAACTAATGTATTTTCATGAACGATTCCATACATATCTCCACCAGTAATATGACTACCGGTTTTGATATTCAGAGGATTAAACTCCCAAGATGTGCTTTTTGATAAAGCAGGAATATTAACTCCTTTTGGGATGTAAATAGAACTTGTGAGCTCATTAATTTCTTTTAGAGGACGTTGGATACCGTCAAAAATACTTCCTAAAATTCCTGGACCAAGTTCTACTGATAAAGGCTTGCCCGTTCGTAGTACTGGATCTCCTACAGTAACTCCACTCGTCTCTTCGTAAACTTGGATAGTGGCCATGTCTCCTTGTAAACGAATGATCTCTCCTACGAGCTCCGAATAACCCACACGGACTAACTCGTACATAGCAGATCCAGACATTTTCTCCGCCGTGACGACTGTTGAAATAACATTGATTAATTATCCTGATTTTTGGGAATTACTCTTAATAATTTAAATAATAATTACAAAAAATAAAATTTTCACTAAATTATTTTTATCCTTAATATTTAAATCCTAAATAAATAAATTATGAGCATAATTACCGGGTCCAGATACTGCATAGACATATCCAAACTTTTCTTCTCGGTTTTCATCAGCAATTTTTGGTAAAGTCATTTTGTTTTATTTTCTCAGCTGGAAAAAAACATAATGATTATTGATTTACATAGTGATAATTATTTTTATTATTATTTTCCTAAATAAAAGTCATTTGACAAAATACTTTGACCACTCCCATGAAATAATAAGTAAAAATCTTCAAATAAAATATGTCAATTCCAAAAAATTTTTTATAAAATAATAATACAATATTTATAGAAATATTTTTGAGTATTTTAAAAATGCTACTTTGTTATAATAACTTTCAAAAATTATTAAAAAAACATTGGCCTCGAGATGTCTCAATCGTAGTAGTGAATTCACGTGAGCAATTCGAAAAGAAGGCGTAGCCCAAGAGTGCGCGAGTGTCTTTTGATTAAAGAATTACAACAAGGTACAAATGAAAATCAAAATAAACTATGTATTGTTAATGAATAGCTGCCAATTGTTGAAAAGCTCAAAGGAAAATTGGCGGGCCAAGTGAATAAGAATGAGATAAATTTATTCTAAACTTAGGAAAATACGATGGCGCACTGGGACGATCAATAGCCGCAAGACTCTTTGATAAATTGATGTTTAGTGAGAATTAATGGTTCAAATAATGAATTTTATGAATAAAAATTAGACAAAACAATAAAACTCTAATTAATTGTCACTTTAACAGAATTAGGATAAAAATAGACAGTAAAACTTACCGAGATGTTGGACAAACTAATACGTGAATCCCACCTAACGAGTCAAGCCTTGCTACTATCACAAGACAGGTCAGCTGACTGATGCTCTGGTTCTCAACAGCAACGTCAGCAAGTAGAAGGGGAAATTTTCGATCGTTTACAACCAAATGTTCGCCTACATGTATATGAACGATCAACCCTTCATTTTTAATCTTCAATAAACTAAATCAACCATGTAATAATTTTAGTAATCGATTTTTAAAAAAAGTTTTGAATATTAAAGAAGATCTTGATTACTTTTAAGGTTAGCATTATTTTGCAAGTTTGAATTACCCGCGTTCTATGCGCATTGAAACTGTCACTGGCTTTCTATGGCGGGTAAAGTTTTAGGATTTAGGATAAATAAATTTTCATATTTATTTTGTTATAGTTGACAACTAAGTGTATGTTAAATATTTCAATGGTTTTCATCACTCCTATCATGTTCAAAAGAAAATGTTAAAATAAACATGTTTTATGAAGACAAAATTCACACGTTTATTAATTTATTTTATCGTCTTAATTTTTATTTCATTATATTACTTATCATAATCAAAGTTGAGTGACTCATTTAAAAAGAGCTTGAATTATAAAATGAAATATTTTGGAAATAATAAACTTAGAATAAACATAAGATCAATTATCGTATGATAGATGTAAGGTATTAAATCCTGTGCTAAAACATAATTAAGATAAGAATAAAAAGTAATTTTCTAAATTCTATGACAAAAGAGATTAAAAATATTTTTTTAGTAGATTATTGAGATTAATTTTATGAAATTTTTCTCAATTATAAAAGTGTGTTAACTCGACTATAAAATGATATTTCAAGTATCAAACAAATTTTAGTTAATAAAACTCAGTGTACCTGAATAGTTCAAAATTTCTGGACGCAAAAAAATTATAACAATGATAGTACAAATATTTTTCTTAACATTGTTTACAGTATCGACTGGTCGAGTAAGTACATTATTCAATAATTGATAATAGCTATGAATAATGATAAATAATAAAAAAAATTAATTTCACGCTTTACAGCCTTCAGTTGATCCAGATGATCATTGTAAAGGTTTACCAGGAATGACTTGGAATGGAACACATTGTATTTGTGAGTCAGTTGATCCTGTAACTAAAGTAGCATTCGATGAAGGATCAGGTGCTTCAGAATCTGTAGGCAGTGATGATTCAAGTGATGAGTCATTTTTTACTAAGTGTCTTCCTGGAGGTGACTGTGATGGTGGTTTACCACCTGATCCTTTAACTAAGGTGCTATTCGATGAAGGATCAGGTGCTTCAGAATCTGTAGACAGTGATGATTCAAGTGATGAGTCATTTTTTACTAAGTGTCTTCCTGGAGGTGACTGTGATGGTGGTTTACCACCTGATCCTTTAACTAAGGTGCTATTCGATGAAGGATCAGGTGCTTCAGAATCTGTAGACAGTGATGATTCAAGTGATGAGTCATTTTTTACTAAGTGTCTTCCTGGAGGTGACTGTGATGGTGGTTTACCACCTGATCCTTTAACTAAGGTGCTATTCGATGAAGGATCAGGTGCTTCAGAATCTGTAGGCAGTGATGATTCAAGTGATGAGTCATTTTTTACTAAGTGTCTTCCTGGAGGTGACTGTGATGGTGGTTTACCACCTGATCCTTTAACTAAGGTGCTATTCGATGAAGGATCAGGTGCTTCAGAATCTGTAGACAGTGATGATTCAAGTGATGAGTCATTTTTTACTAAGTGTCTTCCTGGAGATGACTGTGATGGTGGTTTGCCACCTGATCCTTTAACTAAGGTGCTATTCGATGAAGGATCAGGTGCTTCAGAATCTGTAGACAGTGATGATTCAAGTGATGAGTCATTTTTTACTAAGTGTCTTCCTGGAGATGACTGTGATGGTGGTTTGCCACCTGATCCTTTAACTAAGGTGCTATTCGATGAAGGATCAGGTGCTTCAGAATCTGTAGGCAGTGATGATTCAAGTGATGAGTCATTTTTTACTAAGTGTCTTCCTGGAGATGACTGTGATGGTGGTTTACCACCTGATCCTCGTAAAAGAGATAGACCATCAAGTTGTGAACCTGGAGATCCAAGTAGCTGTTGCTGTTCAAATCGTATTGCGAATAATACAATTATTATAAACGTTTTCAATTCAACAAACACTAATTTAGTCGTATTCGGCTCTGGTTTAAGTTCCTGCTGCTGCTCACATGAGATTATCGATAATGCTGTTCATTTAAACATAACTTCTTCATTTGGGACTAATTTCACCTTATATGACTTCAAAACTTGTGGTTTAGATAAATGCTGCTGCTCTATCAAGAAATCTACAGTTTAAAAAAAGTATCTTTCTCTCTCAAGAAAAATCATCTCAAACTATATATAAACTTTCAAAGACATATTTTTATTTATTACATCAGTGTTGTTCCTTATAACAATAAAATTATGAATAAAAACAATAATTAATTTTTTTTTCCTTCATACGAACATCAAGGGATTTCTACTTTTACTATCTATAACATTGAAAAGATTATTAAACTTAGATAAACGATAAGTAAATACACTTCATTAGTGATACAATAGAACATTTTTTTTTTCTTTAAAATATAAGATTAAACCCAGCTAAAAAATATTACTCTTTATAATTATCGATAAGAAATATTAGGTAATAATAAATGCATATTTATTTATGAAAATTACTTAATGTAAAAAGAGAATAAAATTTAAATTCAGCGCCTTAGCAGTATTTGATTCACGATGTAATCCTTTTTTGAAAGAACCTTTACTCGACTTACGTTGTGTTCACGTTCAATCACCACACATGTCACACAAGTACAGTCCACGGAAATGACATCAAAAGATTGTTCGCTACGTGTCATAGCAGTTTTTAATGCTACCACTGTTGTTTTCTTAAAAATTTAATATTGTTAACAGACATTTTTAAAATATAAACAATTTTATTATATGTATAAAATCATCTAAAGTATCTGGTAAATATTGTCAATTATTTTTTACTGTTGTATCAATTTTAATTTAATTTACACCTTTTCAATCCTGTTACTCTATTATTTTATTTTTACCGTTCCAACATTTTCTATTATCATAAAATAATTTGTTGTTTAATAAATTAACTTTAACAAATCTTGTTTCTTTAGTATGTGATATGTAATTTAAACATTATTTTCCATGTTTTTTAATGTAATTATCTGAAATTAATTATAGGGAGTTAAATAACAATGAGACAATTAAAAGGAAAAACGAAAGAGACAAATAAACAGAAAAAAGAACGAAAAAAGGAATTTTTGGAGAATAAACAACGAGTTTTTACAGTAGTTTTACCAACACTGGCAGCTGTAGTTGTTCTTATTGCTGCTTATGTTTATATCAAGACCCGTCCGAAATCAATGGAGTTTTAATCATCAATCTTCACCAGAGATAATTGACTAAATACTATATTAATAATATTATTGATAAACAGCTTTTTTAAAAATTTACCTTTAAGAGAGATATTTAAAATGATTAAGTATAATGAAGGATAAGTATTATATTTATTTGCAAAAAGCAGAGTACATTTTTATTTGTTCTGTATTATTATATTTTTCAAGAAAAGTTTTATTTAATTTTCATATCAATTTGTAAAATAAGATGATTATTCATAAATATTTTTTTTTAATTCAAGAAAAATGTATGTATTTAAGAGAGAAAAAATGTTATATAGATTATATAACATTATACGGGGGCCAACAGCGAATATACTATTTTATATGATTGAATAAATAATAAAATGATGGCTTTATAAGATAACAATTCTTTTATTGTATGTACATATGTATAATATTATTTTAACAATTGATCCACATTTAAATTTGCTGCTTTTGAAAAAATGACTTGAAGTTTAAAAAAAGGCCGCTAGAGGCGCTAGTTTTGATTTCTTCACCAATCAACGTTGTTTCGGAATTTTCAAATGCTTTTTGGCGGCATGTTCGACGCCATAACATCAAACCAAGCATTTTTGTATCATCAGAAAAGATTTATCAGTGAATTTGTTTTCAATATATGTTAAAAATTAAATATTCATTCTTTTTTATCGTTTGCATTTAAAGAATTATAATCATTTTAAAGGTGAGCACCATTACGCTCTATTTTAAATGAAAATATATGTTCCATTAATAACATTTTGTGGTTAGTTTACATTTGAATAGTACTTATGATTACTTAATGATTATAATTTTTGCTTACTTATATATTTAAAGTACTTACTCTACATTTCATTGAATTTATCACTCAACTTTTCAAGTTATTTATCATTAGATATATTTATGAGTAATTATGTCTGTATTATTCATGTTAAACAAGTATTCACATTTCCAATAAATGATGTCAATAATTATTTGACTTTTCTATTATTTTCCAGATGATTTATCAAAATACTTCACCTGTCTCTACACACAGTGAAGCTGAAGAAGAAAATAACTCATTTTCCGATTCTCAGGATACTAATTATATTCCACTGTCAGTGAGACTACCATCAGTAGTAACTTCATCATCAACATCATCTCCTAGAACTCCGTATTTCACTTATCTAAGTGATGACTTACGCAAACGAGTTGAAGATTATATAAATGTCATGACTTCACGTATTCCACCGATCAACGTAGATGAATTCGTAGGAATGGTTGGAGACATAATGAGAACATTACCACCTGCGAAACAACTTGAATTAAAAATCCAAATTATTCAATTGTTATTAGAGTATGAAGAAAAAATCTTAGATAAAAGCCGACCAGAAGAATAATATATAGATTAATTATTTTAAAAAACAGTATATTTTAACAATAAAACAAGACTTATAGCTTTACTCGAAGATTGTTCAAAATGTTGTAATTATTGAATAACTTTACTTATAATAAAACTCAATGAAGGAGGAATGGCTAATAAATAACTACCATCTAATAAATGACCAATACAAAAAGATTTATCAGATGAGGCATTTTACTCTATGCAAGTTATTCATCATCAACAAAAAAAGCTCAATTTGAGCTATTACATTCCAATCACCATATTAGAAGTTGGGAATAAGAAGAAGACAATTAGTTTTTAACATGATAATTGTGATGAAGTTACTCCAATGGAACTGAAAATAATAAAAATAATGTTTATACAAAAAAAAGTAACATGGAAAATTGTTAGTGTATTCGTTTCCGTTCATTAACAGCAACTTTAAAAATTATTGATATATTTGAACTGACCCTTCAGTTTTTTGACATCAGAATACTTTGATACTGAACTTAACTATCATAATTTATTATCTGAATAATGGTGTTTAATATATCAGCGTTGATTGTACTTGTATTTATTTTACCTTTGTTTTCGACTACACCGAAGCCAAATTTTTTATTTATCGTAGTGGATGATCTTCGACCAGCATTAGGCTGTTATGGTGATACAAATGCATTTACTCCAAACATTGACAAATTGGCTGAAAAAAGTTTTTTGTTTACAGAAGTTTATGCACAGGTTAGGAATTTAAATAATCATTTTATTTTATTTAAATATATTTATTGAACAAAATAATAATAATATATTTTTGAATTTTTATTGATTTTATTCAGCAATCATTATGTGCACCAAGTAGGAACTCTTTACTCACCAGTCGTAGACCCGATACTTTGTCTCTGTATGATGTTCACAGCTACTGGAGATCAGTAGCTGGCAATTTCACAACTCTTCCTCAACATTTGAAAAATAATGGATATAAAACTCATTCAATTGGTAAAGTTTTTCATCCTGGCAAATCTTCTAATTTTACTGATGATTATCCGTATTCTTGGAGTCAAGTTCCATTTCATCCTGTTACTGATAAATATAAAAATGCACCAGTTTGTTCTTCTCAATTTTCAATCATCTCCAATTTCATCGATCCTGAATTATACTCTAATTTGGTAAGACCTATTGTTTGCAACTATCTACATTATAGCTTAATTTATTTAATTACTCTTGTTTATTTATTATTCAAATATTTTTCTCTTGCTTAGGTTTGTCCAGTAAATATAAGAGATATGCCAAAAAATACTCTACCGGACGTGGAAAACTTGGAAAGTGCTAAAGCATTTCTAAAGGATCAACCTGAAAACGTACCATTTTTTTTGGCTGTTGGTTTTGAAAAACCCCATATACCATTTAAATACCCAGAGAGATTTTTAGGTGAGATAAAATGAATCTTTTATTTCTGTAAAAGTACTTGATTCACAAAGTCTAGTCAAAATGGCCTTAAAATCCAGATTTTTTAGCATGGCTAGAATTTTAAAGAAATTCTCTTCAATCAAGAAGTATAAATCCACTAAAAAAAACACAGAAGACTTTGTTAAATTTTTGTATTCACATTTAAATGCATTAAAAATCCACTAGTTTATACAATTGTCCTAGCAATGTCTATTTGTGCTAGCTAGGTTTAGAAATATTGATTCAATTCAATACCTTTTGAGGAGATTCATCCCTACGAGATTCCGAAAGTTAGCTACTGCAGTTGATACCAGAAAAAATAAACGTTTTTCATTTATAATGTGCATGGAAATTTTTATTGAAGTTATCATGCCACAGCTCTAGTAGCCAGTTTTCTTCAAACTTTCAGTCATACTAAAAAATCTGGATTTAAAAAATCTATTTTAAGTGAACTAATATTAATGATTAATAATAGATTACCATCCTTTGGATAAATTTAAATTGAAAAATTATTACTGGCCAAAAAACATTTCTGAAGTTGCTTACAATCCCTGGAACGATTTACGACAACGCCATGATGTTCAACAGTTAAATTTAGTGTTTCCCTGGGAAAAAATTCCTGAAGAATTTGCTCTAAAAATTATTCAATCCTACTATGCATGTGTATCTTATATTGATCATCTTATTGGATTACTATTAAGTCAATTAAGTGATTCAAAGCTTCATAAACATACAATAGTAATTTTAACTTCAGATCATGGATGGTCTTTAGGAGAACATGGATTGTGGGCGAAATATAGTAATTTTAATGTTGCCCTTAGAGTACCCTTAATAATTTCTACTCCAAAAATATTTTCAAAGGTTTCAGCATTGAAAAAAATGATGAAAAATGGTAGAGAAGAATCTCTTAAAGTTCATCATTTGGTAGAACTAGTTGATTTATTTCCATCAATCGCAGAGTTAGCTGGTATACCAATACCACTTTGCAATGATATTAATCCAATGTCAATTAACAGTACCGTGTCATTGCAGGAAAGAATTTTAAATAATAATTTGTGCTCTGAAGGAATAAGTTTTCTCCCTATCTTAGAACGTATAAAAAAAAATGAAACAATAACATGGAAGAAAGCGGCATTTAGCCAGTATCCACGTCCATCTACGACCGTATCTTGGAAACCAAATAGCGATGAACCTCGATGGAATGAAATAAAGATCATGGGATACTCCATTAAAACAGCAAGATTTCGTTATACTGCTTGGATACCCTTTAATCCTATGAATAAAAGAAATAAATCAAACTGGAATATTTTAATTGCCGAAGAATTATACGATCATTATATTGATTCTGGTGAAATGATTAATCAACAAGGAAACATCAAGTATAGTGGTATAAAAAAGAAGTTATGTAAGAGGTTAAAGAAAGGATGGAAATATGCTTTACCACCAATAAACGTTTTGTAAAGTTTTTAGAGGAGCTTTACAATTGCCTCTGTTTTCAGAGGGTCCTAAACTTATTGCGTTAGAAGGACAAACCTTGTGCTTGTCATCTTCCTAACCGTTGTTGGACTTACTCTCCCTTTTCTCGAATAGCTCGAGTGATCAAGTAATAAGTAGCTCAGACTCAAATGAATAAAAAATAGGTCTGAGCACACTTTGTCTGTGCTAACACGACGAACTTCCCATTAGTAATTGTTTATAACAAATTTAAATAGTTGAGGCTGAGCTGTTGGTCGAGTCCAACACGTAACATGGAAATATGCTTTACCACCAGTAAAGAACATTTAATTTTAGTTCAATTATTCTAACTTTTGAATTTACATTGTATAATATAATTCTTTGAAATATTAATCTATTTATTATAACGAATGTCTTAACAACAAAATGTTCTATTTTTCAATAAATGCAAAATTCTTTTAAATATCTATCCAATCAACTCATGGATAAATAAATGTTGATGGACTAAGATTAATTGGTATCGAACCGAATGAACCAAAATTTGCAATCGTTAAAAAGAAAATGTAACCGAAAAATAAAAAAAAGAAAACAGAAAAAGAAAAATCTGTAATAACTTCCCACTGGGAAGCTAATAAATATTCTTAAGTATTTTATGAAATTTTAATTTTATAATTTATTTGGCAAATTCAATGATATAATTTTCACAATCGTAGATAACAAAATTATGATGATAAATTTCAAAAAAAACTTATTACAGCCGAATAACTTGGATGCATTTATCCAAATACACATTTGTATGAAATTAAAAACACTTACTGGTATTATAAAATAAAAATAATAACATAAAACGAAAGTTAAAATTTGTTCTATGTTCTTCAAAATATTTTCTTCATTCAGTTATAATTTCTAACTCAATAATTTATTTATAGAGAAAAATATATATTTACAGAAGATATTTACAGTATATACATACAGTATATATTTACACAGTAATTTAAGTAAATTGGTTTAATTACGTCGTCGACGAACTCGTGATATTCTCCAAGCATTCGGTTCTTCATATTTGTTATACAAAGGTTCAAGTCGTTGATTCTTCTTAAACTTGCTAAGTTTAGTTGGATCGCTAAATTTGAAGAATGCTGGAGCAAATTCTACCAACCACTTCGGATCAATTGTAGTTACTTCTCTCATATATTCTTTAGTAGTTTGGACTAATTCATGATAAATAACCCATTCAGGTTGTCTATTGAATAAAGCACTACTTGGATGAATGTAAACAACTTGGCTATCAACTAAAGTCCTATACCCTTCTTGTGGATCTTTTTTTGCAGCATTTCGGAAGAATCCAGAACAAACAGCCTTTTGAATTCTCACAGTATTTTTTCCTGCAGAAACAACATCTAATTTATGCCTATCCATGATTCCCAGTAGTTGTTTCCTAACATCTTGAGCACGTTTTAACGTTCGAATTTGTACAAAATTTTCATAACACCAAGCATTACTAAATTTATTATTCTTCCATGAATTGTAAACAGCAAGAAGTGTTAAATGATCACCTTCTGGCTGATTAAACTTTGCTTTCTTTTGATCTGCTAAAGCTTGCTTATCTTTCGGTCTATAAAAAACATTCTGCACAGAGAGCATACTCACAATAGTCAAAATTTCATCAGAACATTGTAAATGGACACTCATAATCAACATCTTTGATAAGTTAGGTTCAAGTGGAAACTCAGCCATTCTTCTACCTAATCGAGTAAGTAAACCTTCATTATCCAAAGCACTGAGACTATGTAATGATTCCATAGCCATAATTAATGATTCAACTGGTGGAGCATCCATGAAATCAAAATGGATCAAATCATTAATTCCCATAGTTTTAAGTTGTAATACTGTCGTAGCAAGATTAGTTCGTTGAATTTCTGGAACAGGTGTTGGTAACATTTCATCTCTGTAAGCACGTTCTGTATATAATCGATAGCATTTTCCAGGTCCAGTACGTCCAGCTCGACCTGCTCGTTGTTTTGCAGCAGCCTGACTAATTGGAGTAACAATAAGACTGTCCATTCCAGTTTTAGAATTGTAAACTTTTTGTTTAACAAAACCTGGATCTACTACATAATAAATTCCATCAATAGTTAAACTTGTTTCTGCAATATTAGTAGCAATTACTACTTTACGTGATCCAGGAGGTGCAGGCTCGAAAATTCTAGTTTGCATCTCTGATGGTAAAGCCGAATATACTGGCAGGATAATTAATTCAGGTACATCAGGACCGAGAGATTTCATTCTTTCATATAAAATCTCACATGCTGTATCAATTTCTTCTTGACCTGTTAAGAAGAGCAAAATATCACCAGGAGGTTCTCGTAAATGAATTTGCATAACGGTGATTAAAGCAGCATCTAGATAATCAGTCTCTGGTTCTTTAGTGTACATGATTTCAACCTCAAAAGTTCTTCCAGGAATCGTAAAAATTGGAGCTTCGAAGAAATATTGAGAAAACTTAACAGCATCTAATGTTGCACTAGTAACAATTAATTTCAAATCAGGTCTCCGACCTACAGCTTGTTTTAACAATCCAAATAGTACGTCTGTGTGAATTGTACGTTCATGAGCCTCGTCTAACATAATTACCGAATAAGCTTTCAAATCTAGATCCATTAAACATTCTCGTAAAAGCATACCATCCGTCATGTATTTAATATTTGTTTCAGGTCCAGTGCAATCTTCAAAACGAATAGTATACCCTACTTCTTGACCAAGACGACAACCAAATTCTTCAGCAACTCTTTTTGCTACTGACATAGCAGCGACTCTTCTTGGTTGAGTACATCCAATTTTTCCTCTTGCATTAAAACCTGATTCTGCCAAGTATTGAGTAATTTGTGTTGTTTTCCCTGATCCTGTTTCTCCGATTACAATAAGAATTTGATTATCCGTTACAGCTTTTATTAAATCGTCTCGAAGTTTATAAATAGGCAAACTTTGTCTTTGTTCTAACAGAGTTAAAGTAGTTTTTTTACCAAAAGATGTTTTCTTTCCACCAATTACATGTTTTTTCCATTCCGGTAAATCTTGTGATTGCAAACCTATTCCACGCATATTAGAACCTACAGTTCGATTTTCAGTATCAGGAAGTGGATCAATAAAACTCTGATTAAATCCTGTTGGATTTGAATCCATTTCTTGCTCTCTTTGCAGCATTTTTTGTTCACGTCTTTCTTTGGCTAAAGCACTTTGCATCATAGCAGCTTGAGCTAGTGATCCATCAGGATTTTTGATGATTCGAACAGGACTTAAATCTCCAAGAGCTCTTCCATGTCCTTGTAAGAATGGAGCTTCTTCTTCAACTAATTCAATCTCTGTATCTTCTTCTTCGTCGTCTTCTCGAGGTAAAATTCCCGTTTCCGCATCAAATTCTGGTAGTTCACTCCGATCAATGCAATTCGCTGCCATCATTTGTTTTATTTCCCACTTTTCTGGAGATGATAGTCGTTGAACTCGTTTTCGTGAATGTGTTTCATCTTCATCAATATTTCCTTGAAGTTCGAACAATGTTGTAGGTCTATCAGGATTCCTCAGATGTTTTTCATCTTCTTCCGTTTTAATATCTGGTATCTCAGGATTTAAATCACGTCCAGTTTCTTGATCAACATCTTTTATACTCAAAGATATTTTTGGTCCAACTATTTTTAATACTTTCACTAGCACTTTTTGTCCTTTAGAAACAACATCAGAGGCATTTGTTACTCTTCCTTCACGTCTAAGTTGTGAAATGTGAACTAAACCTTCTGATCTACGTTTGAGACCTTCAAGTTGTACAAAACATCCAAATGACACAATATTAGCTACTTTTGCAGAATAAATTCTTCCTACTTCTGGTTCCATTGGAATTCCATCAACCGAAAGTGATCTTGACCGTGTTCGACTTCTCCTAGATCTTTTATGATCTCTATGAGATCTATCCCTCGATGTCCTTCTTTCTCGATTCCTAGAATTTGATCTTCTACGGCTTCTTGATCTACGACGTTTCCTTTCTCGAGATCTAGACCGATCTCTTGAACGAGATCGATGTTTTCTGCTTCTTCTTGGACTTTTAGATCGCGATCTGTGTCTTCGACTTTTCTCTTTTTTATCAGTCTCTTTTGAAGTTTTGGTAGTGTTTTCATTTTTTTGCGCTGATGAAGGTGCTAAAGCTTCAAGTGATGCCATAGCTTGTTTGACAATGTCATCATCGTCATCGTTAACATTATTGGAAGTATCATTTGGCATTGCTAATGCTGGAAATTTCTTTGCAAGCTCATTTTTAGGAGAATTTTTAGATACACTTTCATTATTTGATGTCTTTGGAGGTTTCATGTGTTGAATAATTCGAAGTAAATTTTCCATAAAAGAATCCTAAAGAAATAATATTAAAATTTAATAATAAGTTCGATACATTATCAGATGTTTGTAGTAATAACAAAACAAAATATTAACTTACCGAAAGCTCGCCGCCATTTTCAGCTAATGCTCGTTTAAATCCTTCAAAAGTCGGGTTTTTTGTCGCTAAATGTATTATGAATTCCGCTATAATAAATACAAAATATTAAATTAGTTATTAGCAATTTGTATTCTTATTGTTTATGAATATTTTAAGAAACTTACCTAAATCTTTATCGTTAAGTCCTAAATGATTTTCCAATTCAGTACAAATTTTAGAAACTAATGATAGATGTTCTAATTTTTCTATTTCTCCTCTCAGATTCATTTTGTATTTATTTTTTTATAATCCTCGAAATAGTAATCTCGTGCTTACAAACGTAAAATAAACGTAAATGACAATTGTAAACTACTCAAGGCACTCACACCGGCTGAAAATGAATATGTTCAGGGCAACTGAAAAGAGTAAACTACAATGGCGGAATTCTTCACATTTGTCATAACTGTGACCACGTGACCTGAAAGATGCGCAGAAATTTACTATTGCATTTTCTAGAGTGTGCTAGCGCACTCTATTCAATTATTACTAATGTCAATTATTACATGCAAACAGAGGCGTGAAATATATAAACTCGAGTGTATTTTTCACTTTTTAATTAATTAATTTATTTTGATTACTGGTAAACAATCAATATTTTTGCATTTAAATAAAAAAGATTAAGTGTAATTTACACTGCTTATTACATTTTATAAATGAAAGAAGAACAAATGATACGAAAAAATGAAGAAAGTAAAGAATTCGTTCTAGAAATGACATTTATTGCCATCTTTAGTGGAAATATGTATTTAAACATACACATACACCAAACTGTGTTCATACATCTGTTTGTGTAACATAACCTATTCCTCCTTTTCTGATTTACCGCAATCATGGTACGTATGTGACTGTGTTTTCGAATATCGAAATCTATTTTGTTTATAATAATCTCAACAAATATTCACTTAATTAATGTTAAATTATTTTCTTCGTGTTTTTTTTTTACAAATTTTGCACTTATGAAGTTTTCTAATCCATTAAATATATCAATAATTAGTGAAATGATTGGGCCTATTTGGCTTTTGAAAATATATCTATTTTGTTATATTTTGTATTAAAACCCAAGTCTTATTGTGTTTATTATTATCTTTCACTAATTGTGATAATTTTTTAATTTTTTTTTTGTCAAAACATATATTGAAGTGTTTTAAGTTGAATATATTTGAGGCTATGTTTACCTTTTATGTCACTATCACACTTGTACTTAGCATTGGTAATTAATAAAAACATTCATTTTCAGGGTCGCGTTAGGACCAAGACAGTGAAAAAAGCTGCAAGAGTTATTATTGAAAAATATTATACACGACTCACATTAGATTTCCATACAAACAAAAGAATATGTGAGGAAATTGCAATTATTCCAAGTAAACCCTTGAAAAATAAAATTGCCGGGTAAGTCTTTAAGATAAATAAATTATCCTATGTCATTTTTCAAAAAAAAATTTAACATTTTTTTATTCTATTTTTGCTTTTTTTTTTTTATTATAATTCTATCTGAAAACATTCTGTTTTAAATCTCGTAAGAACTAATAAATATTGTGCTGTATTGAACTTTGGGAATGATTTGTTTCAGGTTTGTCACACATTTAATGAAAAGACTTCGGCATAGCCAAGTCCGTGGTATTTCCATTAAACTTCAAGAAGAAGAAAGAGAACGCAGAGATAACTATGTTCCTGAAGTCTCTGCCTTGGAACATGACGTTATTGAAGTCGACCCTGAAACTAAAGAGATGTTGAAAATGTTGGAATTCAGTAACATCTCTGTACTTCAGTTGGTCCAACCTACCGCCCATCAATTCAGTAGGCGAACTTGAAGTAAAATTTTGCTGCGTTATGTAAGACCAATAAATTGATTTTTCTTGATGATATTTTTGCTTACATTTCATTTACCTTAATACTCCATTCTCATTTCATTTCTAAAGATAAATAAATACTTATAATAATTAATTTTTTCTATCTCTTAAATATTATAAAAAAAAAAATTAGCCAAGCCTTAACAAATATTTATAATTTATAATTAAAGCTCCCATTTATTGTTTAGAAAAAAGAATCACTTTTTTAAAAAAAAAAGTGGCATAAACTCTATTTCTAAATAACAATACATCAAAAGTTAACTTTAAAATTTGATAACTTATAACAAATTTAATAATGAAAAACATTTTTTTATTACTATTTATCAACATTATACATACACTGACACAGACAATATTGTACAATAAAATATTTTTTTAAATAACATTGCTTCAAGAATGTTTTTTTACAATTATTAAATCTACTTTTCTTAATTTCAATTTACCCTTTAAATTGTAGAAATAATAAAAATTCTTTCTGGCATTAATTGTTAATTGAATTTTTTAAATAACTACTATAGTTATTTTAATCATTACGAATTATCATAATTTTTAAAATGAAATATACTCTCTGAGTTGTTGTTCAATTTCTGGTTGAAGTGAAGCTATAATTTCATCAAATTGGTTATTACTGATTGATCGACGAAGTGTAATGAGCTAAAAAAAATGTAAGCATTATTATAAAACAATGAAAATTTATTGTAATTTATATTTCTTGGGGGAAAAAAAATAAAAATAGTTACTTGATTTTCAAGAAAACTTTTCAAACAAACAGTATGAACAGGATCTTGAAAGTCTAATCGTTTAAGTCGTAATTGAAGATTAGTCTTATATTCCCCATCATCTTCATCAGACTGCTCATGTTCTTCCGGCGTACGATTAACAAGTAACAATGAGCTGAAATTTAATTGAATATCTTATTAAACTACTCAACATCTTTAAAGAAAAATAAAAATATACTTACTCTAAATAAGAATCCATATCGTCAAGCTTTAAAATATCATTGAGAACTTCAACAACAACACTGATGATCGTTGGAAAATGACGATATATAATTGGCGGGCTATCAATGCTTAATAGTGAACATAAAGCAAGGGCCATGATTTTCATATTATCAGATTGTGTGAAATCTGATACATGAAGAAGCCAAACTTCTAATATTCTATTCATTACAGTTTCTTCCGTTTGTTCTTCTCCTATTTCTTTCATTAAGTCACTAATTAACTATGACATAAATAAAACAAGTAATTACATAAAACTCGTAGAAATTGATAAATAATGTTATTCATTACCAACAGAATTATTACGTGATTCCTGATAAAACTCACGTTTATTTTTGATTACAAATTTTAATTAGGATCAATTGTTTGAATTTATAATTTTAAATTTCATGATAATTAATTCATTTATTTTTTAAATTATTGAAAATAAATTAATAATAATTTACCTCTGCAAAGACACCTCTATTGTCTAACAATAACCTAGACAGAACCACTAGGATCATCCTTATCACGATGAACACTTCGTGTTCTTGATCCAAGTAGACAGTTCTAAAATTTCGAATAGTTTTACTCATCAATTGATTTAAAAAACAACTTTATAAATATAAATGTTTTCATTAAAACATATGCCATACTTAAGAAATCTTCCTAAAGCAGGCTTTATAAGTTGAACTCCTACATCCGGGGATACTTTTAATATTAATATAAATAATTCGATAACCAGTACTAAGTCTTGAGATCTCAGATCTGACATTACTGATTTCAAACTAGCTATGATACGGATTCCTAGGTCTCCTAAAATTTCTTGAGGATTTAATAGTACGTATGCTTGTATGATACAGATAGCTGGTCGAAAATTTACTTGATCTAATCCAGAATCTGTAAGTGATATCACACATGAAAAATTTTATTTAATAATTTATAATTTATAAAAAATATTCTTTTAAAAAGTTTAAAATTCGATCATTCAGTGAGAACGGATAATTAAATATGAAAATTTTCGTAAATAGTAATTTAAGTTTTAAATTAAAATGAAATAAAAGTGACTCCAAAGATAAAACCTCACGATATAAATAATTGAAAATATTTCGAGAACGACATAATGCAAGTTCGACAAATTCTATAATCAAATCTACCAGTTAAATTTATTATAAAAATTAAATTTAATTAATTGTCAACTAATTTCATCCTAATATGATTATTTTTTGTATAATAATATTTTTTATGATCGAATCTTCTTTAAAATAAATTAAGTTTTAGTCAGCAATAAATTAAAAAATGTCAAACAATATAAATTGTTTTTATAATAACAAAACAACCATTTTATTTCTAAAGTTTTCTTTTACCCAAAAGTTCCGGCATATTATAGATTAGACTCATGATGCCTGGTGTTGGTGCTGGTGCATTTTCAAGAAAAGCTAGCCATAATTGTAATCCATCTTCCATTAAATAAACATGAGCATCTTGTTTGAGATCACAACTTAAACTAACCATGTTAACAATCATGGGTTCAATGATAACACTTTCTGAATTTAAAGCCTTAATTTATACAAAAAAGTATTAAATAAAATGTCATCTTATATCTTCTAAAAGAAATAATAAATACTTACTTTTACGTAATGGACTAAGGTGGAAATAATAGCACATCTCATCATATTATGTTTTTCAGAAATTTCCCATAATGATGGTAGATAAGCACTTAATGGACCAACATGAGGCCTGATACCATTACCAACTCTTTCTATTATAAATGATAGTACGTAGAGAACTTGCATCTAAAATTGTATATTAAATAAAAGCACTTATATCAAAATAATATCAACTAATATAAATGAACTTTACATACCTTAGTATCACATTCAGATACTTCTCGAAGAAGAAGAAATAATAGAGAAAAAGTGGTTTCCAAAAACGGCATAAATTCATCAATATGAAACTGAAAGTCATCTAATGCTTGTTTTAATGTATTACTTGCCTCTAAACGAACAACAAGATCTTCTTCAGGACTTAAAGCTCTAATCATCATCTTGTAAAGTTCGGGCTTAAGTTTTTCACTTAATTTTACTCGAGTCCATTTACCGATTAGCCAACAAACACGTCTTTTAACTATTCTGTAATTATTATTTTTTAATTCAAGTTCATGTTTGAGCGTTGTTGAAAACCATTGATTGAAATCTATTTCATCATAAAGATCTAGTGCTGCAAGACCAACCGCAAGATAAATAGCATCTTTCATTAAAATTGCATGATAATCATTTGGATCTACTGGTTGATAATATCTTTGCATCAATTCAATGAGTACAGAAGACATAACTTCACAAGATTGAGGGAAAATTGATAAAAAAACACTCTGCGTACAAGCTCTTAAATTGTACTTCCATGATTCACGAGAATCTTCCACTGCATAATTTTCAGGATCTGTATTCCACATTTCTAAATCATCTGGTGTAAGTAAGAAATAATGTGTGACAAGTTTAGAACATATATCTTTCAATACTTCTGGAGTAAAGAAATTTCGTTTCAATTCAGTAGCTCTTAAAGAAACATGATCTGCTCCACTAATTTCGGTAATTGCTGGTGATGGTCTTCTATAATCAGGATGAATTAAAATAGTTTTCATTAAATTGAGGCATTGAATGATAAATTTTTCAAAAGTAAATGATTTCCCTTCTTCTGTAAAACAATAAAACACTACGAATTCAAGTGAGACTGGTATCAATTCGACACAACATTTTGAATGATTTCCAATAGCTCCATATTCAACTTTCATTAAATTTAAAATAAATTTTTCAAGTGCCTCTATTTGGATCCCTCTACATATTAAATTCTTTCGACACTCTAAACATGCTCTTGCTCTGGTGAAAATTATTCTCAAAAAAAGCATAGCATCCTCACGTTTTGAAATATTACAAAAACCATTTGTTATAAATTTTCTTAATATTCTCAATAAAAGTAGGGCCATTGTTAAAGCATCTTCAGCTTCAGTTCCACTTGTTACATTTGACATCAATATAAGGAATGACTCAGTATATGAATTCCATAAATCCAAAATAAGATTAAACATATTACTAGTTAATTGTTCAAAAAATTTCTTATCTGCAAGTAATCGCTTGGAAGCTAATGTTTTAATAACATGATAAAGTGTTAATAAAGCTCTATGTTTTTCAATAGCATTTTGACTTTGTAAACCATTAAGAAGTGTAGGTATTAAAGTATCCCATTCACGTGGACAATCCAATCTAGCTATTTTTCCAATGACAACAGCAATATGAGTAGCAAGTTGATTGACTGGTTCATTAAAATTAGCTATTAGGTGTTGTCGAAGAAATGCTTTTTCATCTTCAGCGATACCACTAAAGAAAAAAATATTTTAAATTTATGTATCTATAACTCAAAAATTATTTTGTATTATGTTATTATTCTTACTTGGGAGCATTTTTTCTCCAATATCTTTCGACACCATTTTTAAAACATAATACAGCCATCCATCGTACATTTATTTCTATAGAATGGTTAGAAAAAACGTTCTGAAACAAGATTATAAATTAATCGCAAATCATAATATTTTTATTTCAGATATTTACATATAAAACCGTATAAAAGCCTCGTTGAGTTTCCCATTCTTTTAGCATTTGTTCAGCTGGTTTTAGCACATTAGGATCTTGACTACTAGCTCGTTGTAGGACATCTATTACTTCTGCATTCATCTTTATTTACAAGGTTTTATTAACACTTAATTCAACATTTATCAAGATATCTACGTCGAGTTTGATAAATATAATTACTAATCGAGACAATTATTAAATTATTATTTAGTAAAAGATCATCATATTGAATACAAAAATTTTGACAATTTTAATTGATTAAGAATAAATTTTACTAACATAAAAAAAAATTAGAATGCGTGTTTTTTTTTAATTTTAATATCAAGAAATTCACACGAAATAGAAAAATATTTGAAGGTAACAATACTTCCTAACCTCTAAACTCCCTTTTTACGACAAATATCCGTCAAACATGTACTATAGTATACACAGACATATGTGCCATGTTTACGCGCAGGCTAACATCGGTGTTAACAAAAGTTTGCTAAAGCATTCATGCGCAACCCCGATGTAAGGCCGGCGGTAACACCGATGTTGTTATTCAATTCCGTTCCTATAATTCATGTGTATGATGAAAAACTGGAATAGTGAATTGGAATATAAAATGACAGTTATTGTTTATTGTAATAATTAATAAAAATTAATTATGTAGGTAAGATAAATGTAATAATTCATTTTATATTAATTTAAATAGTACCTAAGAATAATTTTCTACTATGTAAATTAATATGAAATGAATTATTACATTTATCTTATCAACATTATTAACTTTTATTAGTAATTCCACTTATTATTAAGGCTGGGCTGAAGTCAGAAAGGCAACTGATTCCCCCTATCCAAATACATGGGATCGGGAAATTTCTAATTTCTTCGCCAATTTACAATTATTTCTATAAAATTAGGTACCAAATTACAGAGGAATTAATGCCGGACTGACGTAAACAACAATTTTTTGTATATAGTGAATATTTTTATTAAAAAAATTAGAAAGAATAATGAAAAAATTATGAATTGACTTGCCGCGCTTAAATTTCAAGATGGCGGCCACATCATTCAGATGAAAAATCACTAATTATTTCATTTTTATACGTTTTTCGCCCAAAATTCGTGTTTGCGTCAGTCCTTGCCACCTGTCTGAATGTTAAAAAAATCAATTCATAGTATAAAATTGAATAATTTAGAAATAATTAGAAATCTTGTATTCCAGATGATATTCTCCGGAAAATTAGTTTTAAAAAATTCTGATAGGTGACAGCATTATGCTCGCAGATGACCTCAGTCATCCATATTGAAAAAATGCTCAATCCGTATCCAGAACTGATGGTGCCCTGCATTTTGGCGAGTAAATTCTGTATGTGTGTGTACGGGTAATATATGTATGTGATGTAAACATAGTGTATCACTTTACAATGCCCTACACTTTGATGACTATTGCAGTTAGGATAAATGAAAATGATGATACTCATTTAACATTAATTAATATAATACCTGCAAATGACTTCAAATACATATATTCATCCATTAGTATCATTTTTATTAGGTATAAATGTTAATAAGGAAGCTCAATTCCAAGTCGGCGTATCCAAGCATGTAGTGTAAAAACAAATATACATTTACTCAATATCGAGATTATGCTGGCCATGTGGTTAGGGCGTCAGAGTTCTATTTTGCCGGGCAGGGTTCGATCCCAGTCATAACCAATTTTTTTTTTCTACTTTATTCGTTAGATTAGCATGTAATTATAATATTGACATGCTATAATTAATCTTTTATAACAATTTGATTTTTTTTTCTCTTTATTCATTGAATTTATTGACGCTAAGTCGAAAAATATTTGAACAGAGCCATAAACTTTCTTTTTGTATAAATACATTGATAATAGCCTGTGTTTAACAACTTATACTTATACATCTTTACATGTATTAACAATGTTATGTTATTAACAAGTTAATCATATTATTATCAACATTGAAAAGTAGTTTAAACAATCCGTGGCGAGTTCCGGCACTTCGCTGGCAAGCTCTACCCCTACTCTCTATGCCCAAGCCTGCAGCTTATAATTTTTGAGCATATATAGATGTTTTGTAATCATAATAGCTCGGTGGTTAGCGCATCGATCTTTCATTTTGATGGGCAGGGTTCGATTCCAGTCATGGTAGTTTTTTTTTTCTTTTTCATTTGTTAGATTTGCATGTAATTATAATATTAACATGCTAAAATGAATTCTTACCAACGATTTGATTTTTTTTTCTCAATTATTTATGTAATTTATCGACGCCGAGTCGGAAAACATATGAACAGAGTTATAAACACTTTTTTTACTATAGCTATATGAACGTAGCTTTTTTTTAAGCAATTTAGAAATATTTAGAAGTAGTTGAAATAATCCACGGGGATTTCCGGCACTTCGCCGGCAAGCTCTATCCCCACCTTTCGTACTCAAGCCTGCATTATACAATTTATAAACATAAACATGATGTCAGAGATAATATGTTAGCTCTGTGAGTAGAACACCAAGCTTTCATTTTACCGATTAGGGTTCGATCCCAGTTATAGCCAATTTTTTTTTTTCATAAAAATTTTATATAAATACAATAATTGGTTGTTTGTATAAGTTCAAAATCAATTCCTAGTGTCTTTTAAAGACAACATTTTCTAAAAAAGAGAATTCATAGTAACTCGTTCCTCACCCTCAGCTTATTTTCAGAAAAACAAGTTTTTTTTCGTAATTAATTGGAAGAATAATGTAATAAAATATATGAATTGATTTATAAGTATATAAAGTCACTTGAACAAGATACAGAAAAAAAAATTGCCTATGACTGGGATCGAACCCTGCCCAGCAAAATAAAAGGTCGGGGCTCTAACCACTGAGCTATTATAGTTCCAATTATATAAACGATGCTTGAAAATTATAAGCTACAGGCTTGGGCACAGAAAGTGGGGGTCGAGCTTGCCGGCGAAGTATCGGAACTCGCCGCGGATTGTTTAAACAATTTTTTATTATTAATAAGTTGTTAAAAAAGGCTATTATCAATGTATTTGTACAAAAAAAGGTTAATGGCCCTGTTCAAATATTTTCTCATTTGTCATTGATTAATTGAAAAAAAAATTTTACATAAAAATTGAAATTTAAAACTCATTTTTGGCATGATAAAATTGCAATTACATGCAATTTAAATAAAAAAAAAATTTTGCCGCAATTAGAATCGAACACCGTTCGGTAAAATAACTGGCGAACCTTCTGACTATAGAGCTAGCATATTTTCATTTGCTTTGTTTACGTTTAGATATCGTAAGCTTCAGGCTTAGTAACAGAGGGTGGGGAATGTGCTTGCTCGTCAACTGTTCGAACTCGCAGTCTGCTCTGAAAAATAAGACGGAGATAGATAGATATATTTTGTGCTCTGTCTTGCTCGGAACAGATTATTCTGAAATTTGTAAATTTCTTGGTACCCTAAGGCTCCCTTTTTGTAGTGCATCCCTGAAAATTATCATTTTTCGAACGATTTTCCTGTTACCTACTCAATTTCAGTTGACGTCAAGCTTCGGCCTTTTGCCGCACAACACGAGGGCGTAAAGTCAACTCCGGGAAACTTTCTGACTTCAGCCCAGCCTTAATATACGTATTTATAATACACTGACAGAAAAAATGTGATAGCTAGAAAGTATACTAGCGGCAAACACAAAATATACTCAATTTGAGTATAATTATTTTTTGATGCAAGTACATTTTATATCAAAATGAAGTTTAAAGTGTACTGTACAATCATAATAACATTAACTTGATTTTAAATTTTTCATCACTCAATCCTAATATAATATTAATTTATACCAAGAATAGCGATTACTGCATTTTTGTAAATATTTTGCTTATCTCAAGTAGGTAGATAATAAAAGAAGATTACAAAGTTTACTTCAGTTGATAATATAGTTTTCTTACACTGAGGATCTTCCTTACTTACCACAAGTGTATTTTATACGGAGATCCCGTATAAAGCGTACTTATGCTAAGTATAATGCTGTTTTACACTTCAAAAACCATGTTCTCACATTATGAATCCTTTTTTATTAATAAGAAAATACTTGTTACTTGATTCAAGTATGTCAATTCTTCACTGCAAGTATATTATATACTTAAATTAAGTATACGAAGTACTCATGCTAAAATTTTTTTCTTATTAAATTTAAAAATTTCAAAATATAAATAATCATATTAATAATAAAAAAGTTACTGTTATACCCATTGGTATTGGTCAATTTAAATTAGTGACCATTACTGATGAAGTAATTTAATGATTAAATATTCAGTAATTAATAAATAGATGAAAAGTAATCTTATAATAATTACAACAATTACTGTTGTACTTTTAAATACGTGGAGCTGCTACACTTACACTGGGCAGCAGCTCGAGATATTGAAATATGCAACAATATTTGTTGCACTTATGAAAAAATTATGATTATCTCTATGAATTAATAATTATACAATCAATCATTTATTTATCATCATCAAAGGTATTATATCGAATAATTTATTTCTGAGCGCTAAGTTGGAAAATAAACACTCTACAGGCATAGTCTAACTGGAGCAACTTGGAGTTTTTAAAAGCACAACACCAATTTGTTGTTATTATCATTCAATTATGATTCTTTCTCTAAATTAATCAATGAACATTAAATAATTTTATTATGATTATTAAAGATTTAACATTAAGCCATTTATAGCTGAACGCTGGATTGAAAGATAAACTCCTAAAGCTCCTAACATGTCTTACTGCAGCAGCTTGAGGTATTGAAATGTACCACAATAATCGTTCCAATCACTGTAAAATTTCGATTCATTTTTAGAATTAATTAATAGACATGCAATTAATTATTAATTATTATTAAAGATTCTATAATCAATAATTTATCTCTGAGCGCTATATTACGAGTTAGACTTTTAACAGGCCCAGTGTAAGTGTAGCAGCTCCACGTATTTAAAAGTACAACAGTAATTGTTGTAATTATTATAAGATTACTTTTCATCTATTTATTAATTACTGAATATTTAATCATTAAATTACTTCATCAGTAATGGTCACTAATTTAAATTGACCAATACCAATGGGTATAACAGTAACTTTTTTATTATTAATATGATTATTTATATTTTGAAATTTTTAAATTTAATAAGAAAAAAATTTTAGCATGAGTACTTCGTATACTTAATTTAAGTATATAATATACTTGCAGTGAAGAATTGACATACTTGAATCAAGTAACAAGTATTTTCTTATTAATAAAAAAGGATTCATAATGTGAGAACATGGTTTTTGAAGTGTAAAACAGCATTATACTTAGCATAAGTACGCTTTATACGGGATCTCCGTATAAAATACACTTGTGGTAAGTAAGGAAGATCCTCAGTGTAAGAAAACTATATTATCAACTGAAGTAAACTTTGTAATCTTCTTTTATTATCTACCTACTTGAGATAAACAAAATACATTGGCTCACATTATACTGATTCCAAGTAGAAAGACTACTTAAATACAAGTACTTTATTTTCATAAAACTTGTATACTTATTACTTCTTCAACCGCTTGTAGTCTACTCAGGAGTGGTATATTCTGTATTTAGACTCAGTATTTTTTTTATTCATTTTAAAACGAAGTTTTACTGATTCCAGGTACTTTCTTTACCTGCCTTCCGAAACTTTTTTACCTATCACTTTTATACTGGGGACAAGTAAATTCTATAATTCGCCACCGGAAAAAATTTCTGTCAGTGTACATAGTACTAGCGATGAAACATCAAACTTCCGGCGGCAATGGCACGTCGTGGTTATTATTTGAATCTGCTTCTTAAAATCTCTTATTATAATTCGTAAATAATCAAGAGTACGAAACTCTTCGTACTTTGAATACGAATAAGTAGCAGAATAATATAGTTTTCCATAAGATTGTTATATTTTAACTTGATGGTAATTTAGCTTGTCACAGTAATTATATATTTAAAAAATACAATTCAACTTAAATTACGAAAAGTGATGTACTCTTATTTATTAATGATAATATTCAAATACATATAAAAACTTACATACAAATAAAGTTATTTTTCTAATATTACGTACATACACAAGCATATTTTTCACTAATTAATGTTTGTATAATAAATTAGTCATTGTATCCCTTTATCAACAGGCCTCGTTTTTATTTATAAATTTTAGCAGATTTAAAAAATAACTACACTGAAAAAAAAACGTGATACCTACAATGTATACCAACAACGGATACAGAGTATACTCAAATCAAGTATAATTATTGTTGAGTACAAGTATTCTTTCTACAAGAAGGCTGTACTATATGCTCATTTGTCACCAAAAAATTTTGAAAATTGGAGTAGACTTGGTATTTTGTTATACTAATCCAATTACAAAATTTCAGTCGAAAAATGTTTACAGCTGAAGTTTTTGCTGCTCAATGTTAATGAACCACTTACTCACATAAAAATCATCATTTACTAAATATGCTTACATTATTTACTTGTACCACGTACATTAATTATTCATTTAGAATGAATTTATAACTTCTTGAAAAAAGAAAATTACTTAAAAGCATATGTACTTTTTGCTCCTAGAAAGTACAAAAAATACCTGTCTTGAAAACACTTTTTACTTCGTTTTTGTAGAAAATTTATTAATTTTAAATATAGAATTGACTTTTTATGAATATTCAATTTCCTTCTGTCGATAATGTAGCGATTCCATACCGTAAATATTATTTACTTATCTCAAGTAAAATATTATAAAATTTTAGAATATTATAAATTTGATTACAGTAGACTATTTAATAATGTTATAAATGAATATTACTGACATAAAACATAATGTTTTCTATAAATGTAATTTATTTTTTTTCCATTAGAATAATTATTTTTACTTCTGTTAGGTATACTCTAAACTTTAATTATAGAGTTATACAATTTACTCGTTTTAAAAACATTGGTTCTCTACCAAAATATACTTTTTACTGAAAGTCAGTGTACAAGTTACCCGCGCGAAAAATAATCCTTTCTTCAGGTTAGAAAAAAAATTATTTGCGGCAGGAATATATGTTAATTGAATAAAAAATATGTTTCACTCGTTTTAGATGCACTGATGTTTCACTAAGAGCATACTTTTTACTTAAATTTGACATGCAAATCACACATGCGATAAATTTTTTTTCTTAAAGTTACAAAAACGTCTACTTGTACCAAGAATAATTGTTGGTATATGGAAAATATGTTTTACTTGTTTCAACAAAACAATCTACTCAATAGAAACATAATGTCTAGTTGACTTTAGTACGTCGAGTACCAACTATTTTATCCTCATATGAAAGTATCTTTTTACTTATATCAAGTTCAATTCCTTTTAATTTCTAGAAGAATTATTATGAATTTTGTCGATACTGCTTACTGATATTTGGAATGAGACTTTTTTTTACTTTTTTTAAAATTAGTTTACTTAATGCTTGTTATAAAATTACATTGCACTTTCTTTGATGATTAATTACGTTTAGATGGGACTTATTCAATAATTGGCAAGAGTTAATATGTTTACTTTTAACAAGTTCTACGTTTTCTGTCATTCAAATTTATTTTTATCTGTGTGAAGTGTACTTTTCACTCGTTTTTATAATATTATTAATTCCATGACATTAATTATATTACTTAATTCTAGTACAATGATAAATAATATAAGGAATATTATTGTTGAAAAATTAATTTACTATTTACTTGTATTGAAATAATAATGTACATATTTTTGACTTATATGTTTTTTTTAACTGGGTACATAGAATTATTTTGTGAAAACATTTTACTATTTATATTGAGTATAATTTTCTTTCATCAATGACTTTATTATTACTATTTTCTATTATATTAATTATTGGTGTTAAAAATATAACTTTGTTGAAATTAATGTATTTCTTACTTGTAATATAGTCATTTTATACTTTTGTTAATAATATATTTTTTTAAACAGTCTTTATTGAATATTTGCTCAAAGTATAAATTCTTATTTGTACAGAGTATATTATCTTTTTAGGATTATTATAATACCAACATTTATAAAATACATATTTTACTCGTTGAATAAGTATTGTTTTTTTTATTCCACCACTTTTGTTACCTATTTGAAGAATATTATTTAATTGTATTAAGAATGCTAATAATACTTATCAAGTATATGTTGTATTTAAACTGAAAATGTTCTGTGTAAAGTAATACTGTATTACCCGCCCTATAAAAATAAATCCTGGAGGTCAGTCAGATAATATCATGCCACTTCAAAAAATTTCTAAATCGAAAACCCAATGGAAATGTAATGAAAACTGCAGAATATTTTATGCAAATGACATTAATTTTGATAAGAATAATGAAAAATTTCTTAATGAAGTCTTATTGAAATATCATTCATTTCTTGAGTGTTTAAAATTATTAACGCTTACGGAGCAAACGTAAAGACAAAAAAATGAGGCATCCTGTATGTTGCTATGAATTAGATAAACCTTGTGATTCATTGCTTATTAGCATTGGGATCCTATCACCTCATTTTCCTGCAGTACGGCATATCAAAGCTATAGTGTATAAAATAAAATCATTGTATGAAAAAATATTCAAATTAGATTCTGGATTAGAGAAAAGTTATTTTAAAGATCTTCACACAATTTATAAAGATATGATTGAACACGGCAGAATTTATAATTATGATAAAAGTTCAATGTGTTTGGATGAAGAAAAAATCCGTGAAAATTTTAAAAAAGCATTCATTGCTTTAACAAAGCGAGCCACAGATACTCCACGTAATGTTTGTCTTTATTGCCAAAAACTCTGTCCAACGCGAGATGGATGTATGATTGAGAAACTTACCAAACCAATTGACGAATACGTTTTGTTCAAGGACCTCAAAAATTTCATTACAAAAAATCCAAATTTAAACAGCGATTTTATATGTACATTTTTTCTTACAAAAATTCGTTCTGGTTCGTGTCCACCTACATGTATAATGAATAATTTTTCGGCTGGAATCATTCCTGGAGAAATTTCTTCTTTGACTGACTGCGAAAGACTACTTATACAGAGAGCCAAAGCATTGCAAGTCGTTAAGAGGATGAACACAGTATTTAAGAAAAATTTACCAAACTGTATAAAAGTACAAAAGTTAAAAGGGACTACATTCCATTTACCATTACCTTTATAAGGAACATTAGACAAAATCTGTTCAACAACGGAACCGTTAAATAAAAATCATGAATTGTATATCTTAGTCGATAGTATTCCGTCAGAAAGCAAAAAAGTATGGCAAAATCTGGTCAATATAAACAAAGTATTTAATGCTTTACAGTGGCTCAAATTGCACAATCTACTTTATTCAGAAATAATTTTACCTCCATCTGCCGAAAACCTTTTCGATATTTTAGACTCTGAGATAGAATATAAAGTAGATTCTTATTCTTCTGCTAATGATGAAACTCAATCAAATGAAAGCAATAAGAGTGTTGACGACAACGATATTCCAGAGATTCAAAATACAAAAGATGTTCAAACAGACTGAACAATTTCTGATGATAAATTTAGTATTCAATCTTCCGAACAGAATTCTTGTCGATCTGCCATTTTGACACTTGTTCCTGATCGAAAAGAATATGAAGAGCAGTATACAATATATCCTCTGTACAATCAAAGAGCTCATCAGAATTTAACTACTTTGTATCAAATGAAAAAAGTTCGAGAAAATCCATTAGATAATCGTTATAAAGATTTAGATTTGCTATGTTTCCCGAATTTATATCCATATGGAATTAATGGCCACATGGCAACCACAGTTGCCGGTTGAGCATGGATATGCATGTCAGTATAGTCAATTATCAGATAATGTCTTACAAGCGTTAAGATCTGAGTTCGAAAATGTGATTTTAATTATCATTGATGGAATATTAATGATTTCTAATTTCGTTTTGCTATACATCCACTGACGCCTAGTTGAAATATTCAATTCTGTAGATAAAAAAAACAGTTGGTTCGGTGGTATACACATTCTTGTATTTGGAGATTTGTTACAACTTCCACCTGTCAGAGAAGATCCTATATTTGTTCATTTCTCATTGGAGAAAGTAAAAAAATTCATTGGCTCTTTAGGAAGCTTGAATTTATGGTATAATTTATTCCATTATGATGAATTAACTATTAACATGCGACAAAAAAATGACCTCGAATACAGTGAGTTACTTTCTCGATTACGAGGTGGTGCACTAACTGGTAGGGATGTTAAATCGTTGGAAGAGCAAAAAGTAGTTATTAAATCCGAATCTAGGTATGATGATAGATTAAATGAGATATGTGCGGATATTAACAAATTGCCTGATGGCAGTGTAAGCTTGTTACGAACATGCAATCAATGCAATATTTTAAATTCCATAATGTTAGAAAAAATTCCATCGTCAGAAATATCTCTGGTGGCAAATGATACAATAGATTGTCCAAAAAAGTTTCAAAAAAAAGCATCTACAGTATCAAAAAAATTAAATAATGATGACACACGTACTGCAGGATTAGCCAAACTTATTGTAATCAAAATTGGAGCGAAAATAATGATTGGACGAAACATTGATGTAACGTTAGGACTTGTCAATGGAGCAATAGGTACAATTATATCGGTATCGAAATCGACGGACGCTTGTGAAGATGTAAATTCGATTACTGTTAAATTTAATAACGAAAAAGAGTATACTCTAGAGCGAGTTAGTGCAAAATTTCAAATAATGAATGACGCTTACGTAATTCAAAAACAATTTCCAATATGCTTGAGTTATGGTATAACTGTTCATAAAAGTCAAGGATTAAGTTTAAAAAATGCGATCATTGATGCAGGTAACCGAGTATTTTGTGCTGGGCAAACTTACGTTGCACTATCTCGTGTTACATCATTAGAAGGTGTTCATTTAATAAATTTTGACCCTTCTCAAATAAAAGCAAGTAGACTTGCAATTGAAGAATATAATCGCTTAAGGAAAATGTATCGACCTGATTTACAACAGATAGAAATTAATGAAAAACGTCGAATGAAAATATTAGATCTGCAATGGGCATTAGAAGAATTTGATTTAGATGACAGTAATAATGAAAGTAACTTGCAGAATATCAACTGCAATATTATTTCAATTTGTGGTTTCAAAAACTATGAAGGTATTTATAGTTTTGCAAACGCCATACAATGTGTTTTTAATTGTATATTTCTAAGAGAATATTTTGAAAAAATTCAACATGCTCCACATACACCACTACAAGCATTATTACAATTGTACAAAAATAATCATAGTGGTTTGAGCGCATCAACGATTCAACAATTCATAGGTAATGAATTTAGTAATAACGTAGAAGAATTAGATCCTTTGTCATTTTTCCATGCGTTATGTCACAAGTATGATTATATCAAATAATTGTTTACGATTCAACAATCATATTCAGAACGATGTTTGAAATGTAATTATGTAAATAATTGTACAACTGAATCTGTCTCACTATCATTACCTATATCATCAGACGTTATTACTGTTAACGATTCACTGAAGAACTTTTTGTCGAAAAAATATAATTGTAAAAGAATATGCACCACATGTACTGAAGAAACAGATTTCATTCGAAAAATGACTATAACATCAGTTAGCTCATTTATAGTTCTTGCATTCGATTTGTTCTTAAATGGTAATAAAACTGAAACGAAAGGCAAAAAAGGGTTTCTGAAAGCTATTCCTTCCGCGAAAATATCGATTTGCAAAAATATATTTACGTCGACAAGTGCCATATTTCATGAAGGCAATCACACATCTAATAGTCATTGTTACAGTATGGTAAAAAATAGAAAAGCTTCATCATGGACAATGATTGATGACGAGGTAATCACAAAACAAAGATGGCCCGTTAATGCCAAAAACTGTTACATATTGATTTTTAATAATACCAAAAATTAAACTTGTAATTTAAAAGAATAGAACTTGAGATTTCATTTACAGCTTTATAAAATAAATATTCATAAAAATCGTTTTTATTTAGAATTGATTATATTGTGCAGTTATTGACATATCAAAGAACGCACAAAGAACAATCGCATTTTTTGTATGAGGGCGCCCTGAAAAACATTTTTTCTCAAACTTCTTGAAAATTGGGCCAAGTCTTATAAATTTTTTTTCTTTTCAAAGATTTCGAGATTTCGAGTAGATCGATAATCAGTAAAATCGTTTTATCGACCCATGAGAAGTAGCGCGAAATTTAAATTATCGGCAAAGCCTATTAAAACCATGTATTAGAGAGAGAGGGTCATACGAAACGTAATAGATCTGAGAGAGAGAGAGATATTGTGATGATTTTGTTGCCATGACGATTTCCCCACGCAACTCACCACAATAGTAGTGGGGGATAGCAAAATGGGCGGAGTCGAACAGTATAAAAGAGCTGGATTTTGGGGAGATCGTGACTTCACTTGTCTCCGAGGTACTAGACTGACGAGACCAACGAGAGTTGTAGCTCACGTTGTAAAATACAGAGCTGTAGCTCTGGCTAAGAGGTTGTAGCCTTTTGGTTTCCCCGAAGAGTTGTAGCTCTCCGAAAATAGGACTTGGAGGGTTGTAGCCTTTCGGCCAAGAGTTGGTGCTAGATAACAATCGAGAGTTGTAGCTCACGATTTTGACCGTGTAGGAGTTGTAGCTCCTCGCTGACGAGTTGTAGCTTGTCAGTTACTTAGGCAAGGTCGAAGCCTTCCCTCGGAGAGTTGTTAGCTCTCAGAGTATCCCGGGTTGAGTTGTAGCCCGACCAACTAGGGGTTAGGTTTAGGGGTAGACATTTTTGGGGTGGGATTTTATAATATCAACTCTCTCTCGAGTATAACGGCATTTAAGTTAAAGTTTATTTGTAAACCTGTACAATTGGAAATCTCGAATAGAAGAAATATATGTTGTAGATTGTTTATATAATAAAGTTGGAATTGGATTTTAATTTGTGTCTAGAGAAATTGCTTTGTAACGTATCCGCCATAGAATCCTGGGCCATAAAATTTCGATAAGCTTTAAATTGGGGCGGGAATTTTCTTGAGGTTTCGCCTTAAGAAAATTCAGTCGTTACAATTGGCGCTCGAACAGGGACTTGAACCCCGGACCCTCAGATTTTTCTTTGTAAGTATCAATTGAAAATAGAAAAAGTTAGATTAATATAAAATAAACGGCATGGCATTTTATATGATTTCAAAAATTTTTGTGATTCAAATTTTATTACTTCAATTGTTAAAAGATGGGAATCTTATTCTTTTTAGAGTCACTTAAGACGTGTACATGGCGCAACGTTTTACTGACATCCGTAGATGGCAGTTTTGGTAGGATTATATACAGATTTTTTTTTATTTGAATTTTAAATCTAAAAATAGATTTGACATTCAAATAACATTGATGGATGAATATGTCATTTGACATTATACTTTTATCGTAATACTAAGTATGTGAAAGTACATACATATATAATAATAAATAATGTTTGATATTTTATCATTACCATTTGAAATACATGATATTATTATTAAACATATTTCAGATGTAAAAACAATATTTTCGTATTGTACGGTAATAAAGTGGCACAATTATTATGATTATTTAATTAAAAATAGTTTACCCTTAATTCGCAATTTACAACAAAAGTTGTATAATAAAAAATATAGCATACGTTCAAATAAATGTATAATACCTTTAATGAATGATATCATGTTACAATCAGAAAAATATAATAATCAAACTATGTCATTTAATACAGTACTCTCTTTCAATAGGGCCGGGTACAGGATCGTAGGGGAGTATGTTTCTCAAAAAAGTAGGCCCCCCACTTTCGCTTAATATTCCACTCCTCAAAATGAATAGCGGACTCTCTGAATAGTTCCGCTATTCTTTTACATGTTTTTACGAATAATATAAAGATATTGTTCAACAAATTAGAGGGAATAATGAGCATGATAATTTCAACGATTTAAATAAAAATGAAGGAAACAGCGCCAATGTTTTAAATGAAAATGACTCGAATTTTTTATCGGAATCATTTCATATTTTATATGAATGAAATAACTGGTTTTTATAATTCATTGTAATTTCATAATTTATAATAAAGTATATTCTGACTTAACCAAATAATAAAACTTTTATAATAATTATCAGAATAAGTCTATTGATTTTTTATTTTAATGATAAATTTAGGAGTTCTATGAGCGGAACTATTGAGAGAGTCCACTCGTAATTTTTAATTCATAGAGATAGCGTGCCGTAGTGGGGACACGATCCGAGCATAAAATCCGGGCGCGGAACTATTGAGAGAGAGTACTGTATTTGAAATTTTAAAAATATTACCGGGAAAAATTTATTAGAATTCAAATCATTATAGCAATACAATGATTTGAATTTTATAATAAATACTTGATGGTATTAATAATATAATAATTTATTTTATTCAAAGATAATATATTGAATTGTATATTACATATGATAATATACAATATGTTTTCATAACCATCGATTTATTGAATACATACTTATAAATAAGATTCATTGATGAAAAAAATATTATCTCAGTAGTACCTAAATACATACATAATAATATATGCCTATGTAAAAAATATTTTTTTTGTAAACACTTTTTTTTCTCTTTGTAGCATTATTGAGTTACGCATGCGCATCACAATATCGACTCGTTGAACAAGTTCCATCCGTCCATCTTATCTACAGTAAGGGGTGAGAGGTACGAAATTTTAACATTCTATCGTTAGTTGCCATCCTGAATACACGCATTACATCATAAACAGAAAATAACATATGGACATGAATAAGTGGTGACGTTATTTTCTTTTTTAAGGAAATCGTTCTATTCGTCACTTATGTATCATATTATGAAAAGCCGTGCGGTATATAATATTATATATATATATATATATATAAATTAATAATCGTTTAATTACTTAATAGTATTTAATGATAAAAAATAGTGTATATATATAATTTGTGAGTTATCAAATAAAAAATGATGATTATAAATTTTAAATAAAAGAATAACTTTGTTTATTTGTTACTATACTATTTTAAATTTCACGTAAATCATAAAAAATGCACAAGTAAGTTGTACATTGTTAATACATAAATACATAAATATAGATATGAAAAACATTTCATTTTTACTTAGAAAATTACATATCAAATATGCAAATATTGCTGAAACATGGAATACAAAAGATATACATAACATGATAGATCCGCGAATGCAACAATCACAATTACATAAACAAAAAGATGAATCTACAATAAATATTAATAGAAACGATGACAAATCAATAAAAGATGATAATATTAATGTTGTAAAAAATACTAACTCTAAAAAAACAAAAAAAATTACAGAGCATAAGTGCAAATATTGTGGTAAGATTTTTCAACGTTTAAGTCCATTTTTAATCCATATTAGACATCATAATATGATCCTGGCATCGACCAATCGTATAAATATTAACGATGACTTAACTCCTCAAATTAATGATTCAACAATGACAACTTTACAAAATACAAATAATATACTTGAGGTGATTATTAATTTATTTATACTAAATAAATCAATAATACTATAAATACATATATCTATTGAAATATTTTTTATAGGTAACTGAAAATCATAAGGTAATTGAAAATCATAAGGTAACTGAAAATCATAAGGTATCTAAAAATCATAATAATATACAACATGTTACAAATACCAATAATGAAAATAATAATAGTATTAATGATGATAAAAAAAAAAATAATCGTACAAACAATAATAAGGTTAGTATATTTTTTATTTACTTTTATATCTGATATTATAAATTTAACAATGTATTTTTTTTAGCCAATAATTAATATGCATGAAATAAAAAAAATATTGGATAGGAACAATATCAAAAGCGATGATTCACAGTATGTGATGGATTGTTTGTACGGGTTAATGGCGTTAAATGCTAAGTTAAAAGAAATAGAGTCTTATATCCGTATTAAATAAAACACATTTAATATATGTATTTACAATATCATATTGAATTTTCTATTGTAATATTCACTTCAATATTTATATCATCATCGAATAAAAGAATCCGTATATTCTTCATCTATAATATCTGATTTTGTTTGTATTATATTATTGATATCATTTTTTTTATTTTCATAAGTAATCATTTCAGATTTTAATTCTTCAACTTAATTAATTATTAAATTCATACAATTTTTTAATTTTTTTATTTGTTTTTTATAAAGTTTAATATTGTAAAATATTTGTATGTCGCCATCTAATGACTATTAGACTAACGACAGTTTGTTAGTTAACGACGATTGCTTGACGATTAGATTGTTTATAGCAACGAGGGGAGAGTTTTTTTATCTCCAGTTTTTGACTGTGACTTGAGTTGACCGCACGGATTCTTTCTTTTAATAAATTGCTGTCAATCTTTAATAAACATTTTTATTTATTTATTAATTTGCCGAAGTTGTTATTGGGTCTTATTTTACAATATTATTATCTTTCACTTTAGTTTCAGATTCTGAAGAATCGTTATTAGCAGTTGACTCATTATCTATGTTATCGTATTGACATTCTAGACATTTATTTAATCTGAAAAAAGATAATTTTAATTATAATAAAGCGATATTTAAATGCGATTGACATTTTTTTCTACATATTTTTTTACTAATACACTATATATTTATAATTATTACCTCGTTAACCAATTACAAAGACATATATTGTGAAATATATGACCGCAAATTGATGAACACAATTCTTCAGTTTCATCAATTGTATAATTACAAATAGGGCATGCAATCATGGTTAATGATAAATTAATTATTTTTTTTATAAATGTTGAAAATAACAAATCTTAAATTATAATATGTGTATTATTAGTCAAGATATATAAATGATTGTTACATAAAGAGTGCTGTAGTGAAACTACGATATTAATTTTAAAACTACATATTAAATTTCTTTCTTTGATATCAATATCAAATCATCATCGATGCAGAAGTATACTTTATTATAGGACGCTAATACATTTTTATTTAAAAAAATGTACACATGATGACAATAATAATTTATGAGTGATTATTATTTACTCATTAATATTATTATTAACGATTATTATTCATTGAAGGAGGTGATGGCGGTCATATCGTTTTGCTATTATTTCTACTATTATTTTTAATTTTTTCAATATATGTATATGTGTGCGTTTTTTCTTTGAATTTACAAGGTCATTTTTATCTTAGATTTCTTTCTCCCATTTTCTTCCCCCCCCCCTGCCCCTTAAAGAAAGACATCCAATTAAAGTATGTACGGACGTCAGCATTTTTTCGTTTTCGATATCTCAAGAACGAATTGCGATATCGACTTCAACCAAAATTAATTCGAAAGATATTATTATAAAGAAGATCTGAAAGGAATTTCAACAAATTCGATAAAGCCGTTTTTTTTATAACAAAATAACTAATAAAAAAATAAAAAGATTAGCTATTTAAAATACTTTCAAGTCAAACAATAACAATTTCATTTGAAAATAAAGTCGATATTGACTAGACATTATTGTTCACAACCAATATGAATCTTAACAATTACGCATTGTTTATAACAATATGAATTTGTTATAAACAATTAAAACCTGTATTTATTGATTAAATAATGTTTATATCACATAGACTTGGAAGTTTTTAACAATCATTGATTATGACTATTTAAATTTGTTATAAACAATGAAGTACTGCAATTATCATCAATTATAAAATGAACTTTTATTTACATTTTAAATCAAACAAAAATGATTTTTGTTGAGTTATTTGTTTTACATCATTACAGCATCAATTTTACTACTTTTTTTTTTTAATAGTTTGACGTTAAATGTAGTAAAAAGTGTAAGGAAAACTTTAAAAAAATGCCTTAAATGTTAGATAACTGATTATAGAGTTAAGAGAAAAAAAAATTAACTACTTAAAATTATATTAAATTGAGATTTTTTTGAAAAAAATACCATTTATCAAAGTAATTTAATACTATTTTTTTTTAATTTTATACTTAAAGTAAAAGCATTGTTAGCACTTATTTGAATATTGTCTGAGACTTTTAATTCAGTCATACTCAATTAAATGGCATTTTTGTATTTTCAAAACAAAATTTTTCATTTTTAAGACTGAAAACAATTTCGGGGGCCATTTAAGTTGAAATTAACGAAAATAAAAAAATAACAAAAAAAAAAGAAAATTGATTCAAAAATTGTATAAAACAGGACGAAACTTCTAAAAGAGAAATTTATTCATTTGATGTCTAATTAATTCGTTAATTATAGGTTTTAGAATGATGAATTAACAAAAAACGACACGAAAAAACAAACACTAATGTTTTTACTTTTGTTAATTTTACTTACGTACCTGTAATTCAAACGATATAGTATACATGTATATATGAAAAAAAAAATAATAATTAAACAATTATGACTTTTGGCTCTTGTTGCTGTTAATAATAAAACAATCAATACAGAAATGAACCATATATAGTGCGGTTGTGATAATGAATAGGAAAGTCCCTAATTGTTTTCTCTATTCTATTACACATCACTTAAATGATAAAAAAAATGTTTTGATAATTATTCAAATCAATATATAATCATATTTATAAAAATAAAAGAATAAAATAAAACAAATGATGGGACATGTGATTGTTGTAGAATGCATTTTAAGTATTTCCAGTTAGAATTGCATATTATTGTATATACTTAATTATTACTTACTCTAAATTTAAAAATAATCCACGACGGGCCATTACCGCTGAAAAGTTTGATGTTTCATAGCTATGCCACTAGAGGTATTCAATGCGCTACCAGGTGGCGCATGGTGACACGAAATTTAGTTTCACCGCCAGACAGCGCACAAGACTGGTAGCCTAGGCAACGAAAACTGTTTGAAATCACTTGAGACTTAGATGTCGACCATTGCACACCGTGTATTTTTGCTCTGTTTTTTTTGTGAAAATACAAGTGCAGTTTCAATTTTATGCAACATTTGCATAATCACAACGCAAAAGCGAACATTTAAAAGTAAAAGTGAGTGTTTTTAAGAGAAAAAGTTTGATTTATACAGTTGATGTCAAGTGAACGAACAATGTCAAGTCGGAGTGCCGAAAATAGCTTTGACAAATACTAACAAATTTTATAATAAAGCTGACTTATAGCTGATATAAAAAACCCCTTTTTTACTTTTAACATTACACACGAAGAGAAAAATTAATATTGTTGTTTCTTATTAATTGCACATTAAAAAGCATCAAAGAAAAATTTCATTGTGATTTGAGAATAATTTTACTTCATAAATTGAGCATATACACTAAATTGTTAATTTTTTCAAAGATGTTGATAGTAAATCACCTAATTATTGTATTTAATTTGTGGAATGTTAAAGACTTGGTCGATGATCGAGTATTTTTAGTAGTCATTGAAATGATAAGCTTATTCACTTGTTGATAAGTTAGGTAATTAATTTTATTAATGTTACCTAATTGTCTTACTGTAATAAAATTAAAGATTTATTTAGTCATGAATGAATTATACATTATACTAATATTTTTTATAGTAGTAGACTCGAGTCACATCATAGCACTTATTTTTATCCCAAGACAATCCTTTCTCAAGGTTTAACTTAAGATGAACAAATCTTAATTAGAGTCGGAATACGCAACAAATCAGTGTTTTCGTAGGCCGAAATTTTTTTTATTTTATTCTAAACTCATCCTACTTTTATCCCATACTTTTCCTGATTTTAATCGAATTTTAACAAAAACATTATTATTTATAATTATTTATTTTATTTCAATTTTAATTGGGCTGTTCATTACCATTAACATCACATGTGTTATTAAGAAAAGTATGACTGTAATGGAAGATATTACAATATTGACAATGTTCATATTTGAGAAGGCAGTTTCATTTACTTTATTATCAGGTTGCAATAAATAATTTAAAACAATTCAATTCTTAAAAATAGGTCTGAGCACACTTTGTCTGTGCTAACACGACAAACTTCCCATTAGTAATTGTTTATAACAAATTTAAATAGTTGTAATCAATGTTTGATGAAAACATCCAAATACATATGATATACACATTACTTCTTCAATAAATACAATTTTCAATTGTTTATAACAAATTCATTTTGTTATTTATACATGTAACTAAAATATATGTTTATATGGGCCTATTTTTCTTTTGGAATTTAAGTATCAGAATAGCCTAGTGGGTAAAAACGTAGGTTTTTAATAAGTTGCGTGCGAGCGGGCGGTCGTAGGTTCGAATCCCCCCAAATAGAAAAAATTCAATTTACCAAAGAAATTAAATTACACTTGAAAAATAATAGAATAGTAAACACAAGTAATGAAATCCCATAAAAATACATTGCTGACAATTTTTTTTAATTTAAACAACATCAATGTTGATAAAAATGTTATGAAACCATAATATTACTGTAATATAACAAAGTTATAAAACAATGTTATATAATTAAGGCGGAAATAGTAACATCTACGTTACTTCTATGGTACATAACTGTAATAAAATATGTAACAAAAACTATGTCAAGGATATACATAACTACAATATAACAGTTGTATAACTACAATATAACAGTGTTTACTGGGGAGGCACAATTCTTATAAACTTTTTTTTTTAGTTTGAAACTAAAAAAATTTTGAATCTTTATTTTTTTCAAATTGGAGGTGGTACTAACGAAATGAAGGTTGGCACACTCATCTATTTGTCAAATATTATAGATATCCATTAAAAAAGAATTTTTTACTTTACTTTCGCGAGAGGGTTCACACAGCTCTAATACGTTGTATTTAAAAAAACAAAAATAAAGGTTATATTACGGTTAATGGTTATTTAAATGTTGCACGTCAGTTAACTAACCCTTAATAATTATAAATTGCTTTAAATCCATCAGGATATCATTTTATTACAAACAGAAGATCCTAGAAATTTTTTAAACAAAGAATCATTCCGAAATTCTCATATTTACAAATAATGTATTAAAAATGGCGGTTTAATAGAGAACAAAATAATAATAATAATAATAATAATAATAATAAAAGCATCAAATAAATGAGAATATTTTTTTATCTGCAATATATTAAATATTTTATTAATCAGATATATAATGTGCGATAATTATTTGAGGTCATGGTATATACAATTTGTTTTTCATTATCTTTCACAGAACACTTTTATATGTTGACAATCAACAATTAGTTTATTTTTTTTTTGTAGTAAATATTTGAAAATGTTGTACATTTTTCCGTATAATTTTAATGGACAGTTTCTACTCAATTGCGAAATACAAAGCATCTTTATTTACTTCATTTTTTTCCGGTATGTGACATCGACATTAATTGTCTAGAATTACAGAAATATTTTTCACAATAATTAATCAAAATAATAGTGATAAAAAGAGTTACAATAATAGCCATAATAATGTAAAGCATTACATTAATAATAATAATAATAATAATAATAATAATAATAATAATAATAATAATCATATAAACATAACAATGTTAATCATTTTTTTTCATTTTCTAAGAACATAAATATTAAATTTCCCTACCACAACTAGTTCTTGTAGTGAAAAAAAAAATATGTATATATAACGAGTCTTTAGCAAAAGTATCTTATCAACTCTCTTCTAGTTTTATTTATATTCAATAAATATATTGAATTAGGTATTATTCAATGTTTGTAAAAAGTTAACTTCTATCCAATTATATTTAATTATAATGCCATTTCAATTACTTCTGCTACGGACTAATTATACTTTGTTAATAAAATAAAATCATGAATAAATAAACTATATAACGTATGAAAATTCTATTGTATATTAATAAAACAATAATTTTTTTTTGACATAGTGAAAAAGTGTGTTTAAAACACATAAGAACAATACTGATCCCAGAGTCTTGTAAATATTACAACAACGTTCAGAACGTAATTATTGAATGAAAGCAAATACATAAATAAATAAATGAATTAATTATAATTAATTATGCCCTTACATATTATTAAATGTGTTTAAATAAAAAGAATACAATAAAGTTAATTAAACTATGCAGTTATTGGACATTTGGAAAATTTACATCAATTTAATATAACAATTATAATAATATTCATCCTCTATTAAAATCATCATTAAGTATGAATTATTTATCATTTAATTATCAATTTAACAATAACTGCATAACTTATTGATACTCATAAAAATTCAGTTTTACAATTGAAAAAATTTAGGATTATACATTTTCACATCTATCGTTTTTATTTCACAGATATTATATTCATCACATAAGATGCCTGACTTTTATTGAAACATCCAACATCACATTATGGTGAATAATAAAAATCACTGATAACTAAATAAAATCAAATAATTTTCATACTAGAAAGCAATAAAATAAGCAATAAGTTTTGTAAAAAATATAAACATAATCAGTAAAGGATTTTTTTACTATTAAAAATGTTATGGTAATAATATACCAAATGACCATGACTACACTGCAAATCATATAATTCAATTACAGGAAGTTTATATTAAATATATTTTATGTGTGTTATTATAACACACTTTGGAAATATTAGACTTGCAGTGTAAATAAAACATTTATGTATGATAGAAAAAACAAAAGTTCTTATATGATGAATGGATATTTCTAAGATTTACTCTCTCTCATTTTGTAACATAAGTTTATCGGAATCTACAAAAAAACTAAAATAGCTAATTCCGCAATATAGATAAATGTTTATTTGAAAAATATTCATATTTATTTAATATATTTTTCTTTTTTTTGATATCGTTTTCTTTTCTCGACATTTGTTTTTTTCTTTTTATTTAGTTTCATCCACAATTTTTTGTGTAACTTTAAAAGAGATCACAGGATTTGTTTTTTTTTTTTTTTAATTTATTTTTTAGATGTAAAATCTAAATTTTAACAATGACAATGAATTATTAATGATTAGTTTTATTTTAATGAATTCTTCTTAGACTTATACACATTTGTAATGTTTATAATTTTGAAATAAAAAAAAAGCTTAAATATATATTTGTAAAATTATTTTATCTGGATTTTAATTCATTTTTTCAAAATTTACACACAACAAATTTGTTACACAAAAAATCTTTTTTTTTTTTTAAATAATTTTTGACGTTTCTTATTGACAATTGTTTTTTTTTTTTTGATGAGACTAGAATTTTAAAATAATCAGAAATTACACAAAGAAAACAATATTGATTCCGAAAGACAAAGAACGAGAGTAATCTGATTAATATAAAAAGATTAATAGTAGTAGGAAGGAACAATTCTGGAATATATCGATTGTATCTAATACTAACTTGGTAACCTATTCAGAATCATCCTCAACAGTAGGTGGTAGCATGGCAAGATGATGAGGATTTAACATTCCTCTTGACAACGCATACTCTGCTAGAGCACGATGACAAAATACATACTGATCTGGCATTTGAATACTGTAAGCTCGCTGTGCTCGAATTTTTTCCACTGTACCACGTATATCAACTGTTCCAGTGTCTTCTAGGCGAGATATGCAAATGTCCAGAGTACAAAATGTTCCTATAAACAATCATATAAATAATAGTTAACAACATTGAAAAAATTTTTATCTAAATTGTTTTAAAATAAAATCCACTAACCAGTTCGTCCGATTCCAGCACTACAATGTACGACAATTGGTGGACCTCGTGGATGACCAGCCCATGTGTCGCCTCTATTTGCTAACATTTTTGTTTGTTGTTGTCTCACTAGTGAAAGAAACTGTAAAAGTGCTGTTGCTGATTGAGGAACCCCATAATCTGGCCAAGCAGTATATAACATGTGACAAACTTCTCGAGTTTCTTCAGTCTATAATAAATAATTAAATTGAATGAGTTTTTAAATTTTAATTACATTATAATTAATTCTTAGAAATAATCGTACCTTGTTATTGGTCAAAAGTAACATTGATATTGTATAATCTGGATTTGTTTCAACATCAAGTGTTGTCACTGTAAATCCGCCTGCTGAAACTTCATCTCCTGGTTCAGGACCCCAATATTGAGCACATTTTGTACGTCCACGTTCGATAACGCTAAAATAATATTCATGTATAATAATCTTTATTTTTTAAAACTTAAAAATTAAATAATAATAAAATGAAATTTACCGAGTAGTCATAACAACAACAAGAGTTTGTTGCTCCCATATCATTCGCCAAAAATCTCCACAGGTTTTTGGTAATGGTCCTTGAGTGCTGATGAATGCATTCTTTTGTTTATAGCCATCAACAAAATTGGCATTAATATAATCTGTCGTAGCATCACCTTCAACTTGAGATAAACATACTCTCGAATGATCATAGCAAAGTACATCAGTATAACGATTTTTCGGCTGATTTTGTTTTAACTTAGCATTGTTAAAAGTTCCATCAGGCTGTCTTTGTCTTATTTCCGTATATTCAGCGACAAGTCCATCTCTTCCACGAGAATGAATAGCTTCAATAAGTTGTTCCATGGTGAGAGCCTGCACTCCCAAGTCTCCATGGAGGCTGTCATCGTCGCTGAATCCAGAACTCGCTGACGAGGGTGGTTGAATAGGAGATGGAGCTTCATCACTTGCAATCCAACAATCTCCATTTGTTATTTCAATATCTCCAATCGTCACATTACCATTTTTTATTTTATGTTTTTCAGTCACAGGACTTGTAGGATTACTTATATTTAGATTGTCTGGATTTTGATTGACACTTATGGTTGATTTTATCGTCGACAACAGAGGACTACCCACTTGTGGGGTAACCTTTAAATAATAAACATCATTAGAGTTTCATATATCAATTGGTAATATAATAATCATTTAAAATAAATAATACCTCACAAAGTTCACCTCCACTTCGATTCGTCATGGACTTGAGACAATGGAGCAACCAGGCTTCATGCTGAATTTCCAAAGTACCACCTAAACGTCGTGGTAAAGAATCCCGTGGTATATGAAGTGTTAACTGAGGAATAGACACAGTAAATACACGATCCCTGAGTTTCTCTCTAACAAATAGCCGGAGGATCTTAAAAGGTGCTTTAAACCAAAGTGGTGCAGTGACAATGAGAACCTTCTTCAATTTAGCTGGATAGCCTCCCTAGAAATACATTAAACGTAATTATTTCATTTTTATTTAAACATAACTCGATTTAAAAATCAGTAAAAATGCGCATTGAGCAATTATTCTATTATTAATATGCGACGACATTAAACTTGGATTTCTTCCAATGACCCAGAACTCGAGAAATAATAAAGATCATTTATTAAGTGGGGTTAATAATAATTTATCACTAAAAGTCAGTTTATTTTTTTAAAAACAACTGAAAATATTTACAATTCAATGGTTCACTTCAACTACTAATTCTATCAAAATACCTGTCAGCATTTAGTTATTGTTATTACCATCCAAGGTAAATTATCGAAGAACGAAAAGAGATATTTTTGAAATCACCATAGGGATGAATTAAAAAGAAAAGGTCACTGAAGGTCACTATTATAATTATCTTTAATTATGTTGATGGTTTAATTAGCATTTCATCCTTCGATAATGATAATTTATTAGACAAATAATATATTAAAACCGGTAGTGTGTAGACCGTCCGTCAATCGATAACACTCGATTAGTGTTCCTATTCCCTGTACACAGTAGATAGACTTGAAAAAAAAAAGGAGACAAACAGCTGGATTAACCATTTATTTCAGCACAAAGCAACTATGATAATTACTCTTCGATTTTTGCCACAAGCGAGATGATAAATGAAATGAAAAAAAAGAAGAAGAGGACTAACAAATACCTTGTAGGAAAGGGAAAGGATTTAGGTTGTCTAAAATTTGAGCAATGCTCGTACAAAGAGGAAGCAATGACTACTGACCAAAAAGCGTCGTGTGACGTCCACGAGTACGGACATGCGCTATTCGGAACAAGTCCCCTTTTTACGTTTTGGGGTTGCACAACTCCGCCTCGTGGAAAGCCATCTCTCCCTCTTCATCTGCTACAGCAGTAGCTCCAAGGGGATGAATGAGTGTGTGTATGTGTGAACAAAGAAGGGTGAGTGTGATGTGCTCAATCAAGAGAGAGAGTATATTTTATCTATTAATGTCCTTGTATATCGAGCTCCAATGCATCAGGCATTAAAGTATTTTCATCCGGGATTGTTAATCGCGATTCCTATAATGTGGAAAAATCTTGTATATTAGAAAAATATTTTTTATTATCACAAGCAACTACCTAATATCAATATCAAACCATTCTTTTTACTAGTCTTCCTATAACAAAATCAACATAATAATTCAGTTGAAAATTGGTAGAATTTAAAAAAAAAATATTCATCTAGGTTTTAACAAGACTAAATAAAAGGTATAACTTATGATTTATTGGAAAAATTTGAAAAGGAATTTTCTTGAGTTATCACAGTTAATATGATGATGAAAGTAATTTGATTATTCCCGGATTGATATTAATAAATGTTATGGATGAATTAATTGAAAGAATTATTTCCAATTCCATATTTTAAGAAACCACTATGCCATTACAGGTAATAAATATGGGTTAATTACTATTAAATTACCTTTAGCAATGTAAGAATTTTTTGTGACAAATCATAATCAAAATTCTGATATTTGCTGTCGGACATGTCATAAATGAAAACTAATCCGTGCTTTTGAGTTTCAGCACTTTCCAATGCAGCATCTAGTTGATAAACTACTCCCTGAAAGATTTCAAATAAAATGGTTGATAATTAATGCAATTAGTCACATATTCCAACCATATTGTGTGTTAATACACTTTTTTTTTTTATAAACTCTACACAGTTATGTAAAGGTTAAATTAAATTTTTCCAATTAATTGGTTTCAATTATGATTTCGAGTAACTTTTAATTATAAAACAAATTTTATTAACTAACCTGTAATGTTGTCTGATGCGTTGTACATTGTGGAAGATGTAGATGTGCTGTAAAAATAGCTATGGCTGCACCTGTGGCATCTCTAGATGGCTAGAATACAATAAGTTATTATCATTATACTTGAATAGTGATGATGTAATATATTATTTCATATTCACACTGTCAGAGTCATGCTATTCCCTTACCAGAACAGTAAATTTCCCAGTTCGCAACTCAGAGAGAAGTGGCTCCTGAGTTGGATGTAATGCAGCGAGACCCTCACGACGTCTTGTTGCTTCGTGTTGTTCGTAAAGCACTAAAGCCCGTGATACTTCGAATTTACGTGCAGCCAAAAATTTAACTGCTGTGCTCCAGGAAACTGGACTTGCTCTTCTGCCTGCACGACACTTGTTTACAGCCTCTATAAACTCTTTCGTTGCCTATAAAAATAAATTTAATATTTATTCATACTATTAACAAATCTGTGAAGTTTTATCGAACTTGTTTATTTTTATTCGGGTAATTGCATTGAATATTTAATTGGACATTAAAAGTATCAATATTCCAAGCAGTTGAATATTTATTAGAAGAATTATTTGTTATAAAAATAGTCATTTGCAAGTGATATTTCAAATAAATGTAATCATCTATTGTTTATTTTAAATGTTATGTCCATATGTTTGAAAAATAACATCTAAGCGTTAGATTTAAAATTAAAAAAAGAGTTTTTGAATGATTAATTCTATGCTTTTTTGTCATACATGCTTGGGATACCAACGTTACTTCCGTTAGTATGATTTTCCCCCCTTATACCGCCGTTATTTCCTGTACCCCACCCGCTGTAAAATAGTCTATGAATACTTTGAAAAGTACATGTGTCAAGAAAAGAACAAAAATTTATTGATAAGAAATAAATTCGCTATTAAAATTCCATAAATAAAAATATTCAACTTGTTTGAATTTTTAAATAAACTTCATTGATTCTTTTATTTATAACCTGTTTGTTTATTTTCTAGAAATAAATTTTTTAGTCAATTTTTTTTTTTATATCAATAAAAAATAAACAATTTATGATAAGAAAAGTGCAAATATGATTATTTTATATAAATATTTAATTAGATTTTCTTTCAAATATTGAATTTTTGACGTCATATTATAAATGTCAAAAATCTGTTTGTAAGTTTATCTGGCGGTATATGATAAAAAATAAATAAAAAATATCCAGAAAATTATGTTAATAAATCTATTAAAAATACAAAATTTTCATTAACATAAATTTTCAGAGTTATAATATTAAATGGCTATTAAAACAATCACTTACTTGTTCCTGTTCTACGGTTAAAGCGGCTGCCATTTTTTCTCAACACAAACACACCACGCGAGCAGTTATTATTAATTAAAATGTCAAATGGAAAACATTCTTAAAAGTTTTTTAATTTTAAATATCTAAAGTCATTATTGTCACTTCATTATTAAGACACAAAGTGGAAGACCACTTGATGTTTAAAAAAATGAGTGGAAGGAAAAAATTTACAAGTTCATCATGCGATTACCACGTTTTTAAATATGTGACATCAACACTTGTTCGTGCTTAGTTAGTCATAAACTATGCTTTGTTTTATGTAGACGAGAGAAGAATCATATAATCATAGATCTACAACTATGGAGGACATATTGAGTAATTAGTTCACATAAAATTCTAAAGATGTCGCCATTACAATTTTCTGACAGCCGGCAACATGGCGGCCAGTATTTGAGCAAGATGGCGGTGATTCACATTTGGCACACGAGACTGAAATAAACGTGTTTTGTAATTAGTTCAATTAACATAATAATAATTAATGACAGAATATGTTACTATTTTGTCCTACTTGTGGTAATGCTCTCCGAATAAACGAAGGTACAGTTGGGCTACATTTTGCTTGTAATACTTGTCCATATATTTATAATGTACCACGGAAAATAAGCAAAAGAAGTTATTTAAAGCTTAAAGAACTAGATGATGTTTTGGGTGGTTCAGCAGCCTGGAAAAACGTAGATTCAACTGAAGAACGTTGTCCAAAGTGCTCACATCCTTACGCATATTTTATGCAAATTCAAACGAGATCAGCTGATGAACCTATGACCACGTTTTACAAATGTTGCAACCAACAGTGTGGACACAATTGGCGCGAATAAAGGTAAATTGTTATTACTTTAAAAATATTTACTCGTGAAATAAAGTAACTTAACCTTATATTCACAGCATGAAAGAATACTTGGAAGTATAAGGACCATAATTAGAGTGAATCATCTACCTCCACTTTCAGTCATCATGCATCAAGCCGGCAATACTGTGAGTCAGTTAAAACCTTCTGCCAAGCATTTTTACATGGGTGGAACTCGATGCTTTGGAGTTGCTGTAAAATTAATCCTAGAAGGGAAAATAATTGCAATTCCTACAGACACAGTTTATGGTCTAGCTACTCTAGCTCAGAATACACAGTCAGTTAAAAAACTGTATGAGCTTAAGGGACGTGATGCGAATAAACCTGTTGCTATATGTCTGAGTTGTGTTAAAGAAATCAAACATTGGGCTGAATTGGACCATTTACCACCTCCTCTTATTGTATCATTGTTACCGGGACCAGTTACTGTTGTTTTAAAACGTAAACCAAAGTTAAATGCAAATTTGAATCCAGGAATTGATACTGTTGGTATAAGAGTACCACAAAGCAAATTCATTAGAACTTTATGTCAAGCCGTAGGTCAACCTATAGCACTTACAAGTGCTAATTCAAGTGGTGATCAAAGTAGTTTTCATCCGGATGAATTTACTCATTTATGGCGCGATTTAGGAGGAATTTTCTACAGTAATCCGGATAAGCAAAAAACAAAAGAGTGTAGGAGAGTAGGTTCAACTATTGTAGATCTGAGTGAACAGAGTAAATATAAAATAATCCGAGAAGGTATTGGCTATGAGAATACCTTAAGATTGTTGCATAAATATGGATTACAAAAAAGAGATGAATAAAAATGAATATTGTCTATTGTGTAATTGGATGAAAATAATGTAAAAATAAAATATTTATATTCTATAATAGTGTTTAAATTATTTTGCACATAAACATACTTTTATTCATGGTATTTTCTACAGAAAAATTGATACGATAATAATGAAAAATTCATGAAACATCTAAAGCGTCAAAAAATTATCTTCATTATCGTTATGTTTTCATTTTACATAGTAATTACCAGCATTATTCATAATTTTCAACATTTAAGCGATATGATAGTGAACATAATTTTTCATTCTTTAAAAAAAACAACTTATTCATTTTTTTTTATCATAAACTATTAATAATAACATCACTAAAAAAAATAAAAGTAAATTTATATTTAAAAAATTGATTAAATAGATTATTTTCTTTGTATCATAAATATTAAAATTTACTTCAACTGTTAGATATATAAACATTTAAATTTTGATGCCATTAATAATATTCATAATTTAGATTTTATGATTCAATCATCTTAATCTTATTTGTCGTTCAATCAAATTATAGGCCAATATTACGATTGTTAATAACTTGAATTACTATAAATAATTATTCCAAATATAACAATTCAAAAAATTAATATTTAGTACATTGGACTATAAATCTGCACTGTATTTTCTAGAACATAATTAGACCTTTGAGCTTTCTTTAACTAACTACGTTTACATAAATAAAGATTCAATTTGTAATGTAAGAAAAACTCACTCTAATTTGTAATGTATTTATATATATATATATATATATTAAACTCTAGTTAAATTATCTGGCTTTGCTTGAGTTCTTCTTCGAGCTAACTCGGACATAACTACTGGACCAACATGAGGTAATCTTGTATTATTTGACATGGCCTTATATGTTGCAGTTACTGCAGTCTGAAATGAGATAATAAATTTTATTAGATATTTTATTAAAAAATATAAAAATAGATATTTTATTAGTATATAAACCTTTAAACTTTTAGGATCCTTCACAGCATTTGGAATACATTTTTGCGGAAGATTTTGTCTATTAACAATCCATGGATATTTTAGAATTGCTGCAGTAGTGAGTCGACGACGAGGATCAATGTGTAGCATTTTTCTAACAAGTTCTTTAGCTTCATTAGAAATTTCATTCCAAATACCATCATCAACATTGATGTATCCCGGTCCGATTCTGTTCAAGATATCATTCGCATTGTCTCCTGGAATGTTAGGGAAAGGGGTATACCTGAAAAGTACAATTGTTTTAGAATATAATTATGGTAAATTATGTAAAATAATAATATATTCCAAAAGCACAGTCATTAAAAATAAAATCTACTTTGGGTAATTTTTAAAAATGTGTATAAATTAAATGTCAATAATAATAATAATTACCCAGATAGCATTATGTACAGTAAAACTCCTAGAGACCATATATCACAAGCAGCATCATATCCTTGCCGCTTTAATACTTCAGGTGCAACAAAATTAGCAGTATAGCATGGAGTCATTAACAGTCCATTTTCAGCACGGAGTTGTTTTGCAAATCCAAAATCACAAATACATAATGTACTTGGATCACCTCCAGGTTTAGCATAAATAATATTCGATGGTTTTAAATCTCGATGAACCACACCATTTTCGTGTAAATAATGAACAACATTCGTGATTGTATATATAACTTCAGCAGCTTCTCTTTCGGTGAAGTTATTTCTTGTTATTAAGCGATCGAATAGTTCACCTCCCTTTAATAACTCCAATACTAAGTAAACTCGTTTTTCATCTTCATATACAGCACGTAGACTGACAATATGCGGATGCCATCCATATCGAAGTAAAATTTCTATTTCTTCTGTTGGATCGCGTTTACTTTTTTCAATGATTTTAACAGCATATTCATTCTTTGTTGCTTTATGAGTTGCTCGATAAACAATGCTGTAACTTCCATTTCCTATTTCATCTTTTAATTCATACTCATCTTTGATAGAATTTAAATTTATGTATGTTGGAAATGAACTGTATACACTAATATTATTTTTATTCTCTAAAATAGGCTTAGACTCATCAAGTAAACCAGGTGCAACAAAACTAAATCCTCGAAAAAGTTCATGTGTATTTGCACTTGGTGGAGCACCCGGTGAATCTTTTGGAGTTTTACACGTAAACTCACTGTCAAAATAAAATGCATCATCATCATGACTTACAGCTGGTTTGAATGGCGGTACTATTTCTTTTCTATAAAGTGCATCCCAGTCAATAGATTTAAAGAATTCATGATTTTTTATTTCTTCAATTCCATCTGAAATAATAATTAATATTTATGTTAATTGAATTTTTAGTTGTCTCAAGATCCAGGAATGTAAAAAAATGTATTAAAAAAAAAACTCATAAATAATTAATAAATAATCATCTTACTATTTCCTATTCGATTAGCTGGATTTCTTTTAAACAATACACGCAAAAGTGATTGCGCTTCAGGCGAAATATTGTATGGCATTCCCAGTTTAGCTTTTAATATTTGTGTCATGGTTTCTTTTCTATTTGCTCCTTGAAACGGCAGTGCACCAGTTAGCATTTCAAACTAATAAAAATGAATATTATTTTTTAATCAATATTAATAAATAAATAAAAATAAATCAAATATTATATGTATTGTAATAAATATACCATTAAAACTCCAAAACTCCACCAATCAGCTGCAAACGAATGACCTTGACGATTCACTACCTCTGGTGCCATATACTCTACTGTACCACAAAAAGAATATGCTTTGCTATCATCCACAGGTTGCTTACTCAAACCAAAATCAGTGAGAGACATATGGCCATCAGCATCCAACAGTATACTGTAAAATTAACATTAAATACTGTTAATTAAATTGAAAAAATATTTCTTTATTAATTCATAAAGTAAAAGAAATAAGTTATCAAAATGATCTAGATTTCATCACTAGTTTTGAACTTTTAGACAACAAATAAAAATTTTATAATTCAAAAGTAAATAAATATCACTTAATACATTACACAATGTATTTACATAAGTCTAAATCCAAACAAAGCAACATCATTTGCTTTTATTTACGTAATTATTGATTTTACTTTTTTTTAATAAAATTTTTTTTCTGAATTCATTTATAAATAGCAATGGATTGTTACTTACTTTTCAGGTTTTAGATCTCGATAAATGATACCAAGCTTATGAATATGATCCAACGCCAACGCTAATTCAGCTAAGTAAAACTTGACATCTTCTTCGGTAAACATCACCTATTTATTGATATTATCATCATTAATAACATATCATATTGAATTTCAACACTTACTTTAATAAATAAAATAACATAAAAACCTCTTTAGACAATCTTGAAAAGAGATCCCCGCCTCTCAAAAAATCAAGAATTAAATATAATTTGCCTTCAGTTTGAAAAGCATAATGTAATCTCACAATGAATGGATGTTCAACATCCACGAGAATATTCCTTTCTGTTTTGGTTCTAACTCGATCTCGTACTGAAATAATAACATAATTATATTTTTATATAAACGAAAAATATATTAGTCATGTTATTAATTATGTAAATCCTTAAAATAATCAATACCTTTGAGTGTTGCTTTTTTCAAGACTTTCATGGCATATAAAGTACCTTTATCTTTACCAACAACTTTCCTCACAAGGAAAACTTTTCCAAATGAACCTTGACCAAGAACTTTAAGTAGTTCAAAATGACTAGGGTCTGCTTTTTCGTGACCATTACGAACTAAATCACTGACTTCTATTTCATGTGATTTTGACGTATTATGAAGTTTATGATTATTTATTTGAGTGGACATGATTATTTCTTTAATTATTTAATATTTAATGTAATTAATATTTATATTATGTTTGATTGATAACAATTATTTACATATAAATTGTGGCTTGTACCTTGATTGTTATAAACTAATAGAAGTTAAAAAAAAACAATAATTGATATTTTTTTGATATTACGTTCTTGATTTATCCGAAATACAAGTGAATTTACCAACGACATTGTAGATTTATGCTAAAATTGATATTTGATAAACTATTATTGATAACATTTGTGATATTATAAATTTCCTTTCACCAAAAAATAAAAAAATTTAAGATAATCTTTTAATTTCTTTAATATGTTATTTTCAACAATCACCATAATAATGCAAAAACTATGAATAACTTGGGCAATAAAATAAGAAAAGACTAGGAGCAACAAAATGATAAAATTTAAAGCTTATCCTTAAACTGATTTGATGTGTCACATTTATCGAACTATATGCCACCCTATGATATTGTCTAAGGGCTCCAATGTAATACAGTAATATTTTTCTGGCTACATTCACTAGTTGATATAACATATGCGCACAAGTGTATGTGTTAAATTACCGTCATTTTTTGTTTATTACTGTCTAGACAAGTCAAGCCACTTCTACTTGTTTGTTGGTCACTCATCAGATAATATTATTGGTTAGAAAATACAAAAATGGACTACCATTAGAGAGCCGGGAAAAATGAAAATGAAAATTGGCTGAAAATGAAGAAAACTATTCAGTTATATAATTGTATTTAACTGATCATTAGGCCCAGGAAAATATTTAGTATTTATTAACTTACATAATTACCGATTATATTCATTAAAAATGTTAATATTGATGAATAATTAGCAATGAGCTTGAAAGCTTTTCTTTCTTTCCACAAATATATATATGACATCTGTTTCCGTTTAATTCGCAGTAAAATTCCTTTACCCGGGTAACTTTGAATCTAATTAATGTGTGTTTATTAAAGATGTATATAACAGTTATAAATTTTTAGATGGTTGTCTGAATTTAATATATGTAATAGAGTAAATGATTCTGCGTCGATTAAGATAAAGAAATAAATACATTTCCGATTATTTTAGCAAAAAAATTCATTCTAAAGTCACCATTCATTCAATGTTATTTGCACCGGAAGTGGAATAATTTTTAAAAGAATATCAAAAAATTTATATTTTTCTATAAAACTTTTACGACTTAAAAACTTATTATTAGTAAGTTTAGACGATTTGTGATTTTTCTGGCCTAAAAATAAGTGAGGTTATAGGCAATTACAAAGAGATATTTCGTTTTGAAACCAATAAAATTAACAACGTAGCTCGCTGGTATGTCGATAATAAAGAGGCCTTTACCATCTAAGTATCAGAGAGAAAATTGATACAACAAAATACTACATTATCGACTTATGATTAGTAGGCATCTGATATACCGCCCCTTTTAAAAAATATAACCTTTGTGAATTGAATACATTTCAAAAAGATTTTAAACATAAATCCAAGAATAAAACAATTAGTAAATCTACTATGTCTTGTATGAAATAAAAAGATGAAAACTAATACTTTGATAAACAATCACGGTATGAATTTATTTCAAGTTATTTAACTAATAATTAAAAATTAAATATTAACTTACGACTGCTGAACAGGATTCAAGTGATGTAGGATACCAATAATTGTCTTTTGAACTTAATCATTATTACAGTAATCACTTTATGCACAATTTTGTTCAATGATTTTCCTACTTATGATACTTTCAGTAAGACATACACATATGAAGTAACTAGAATGACTGATTGAGGAACTAAGATTCACCGTGTGGTGCTGCTTGTTCTTCTTATTCATGGAAAGGAGGAAATACTAATTGGTGATAAAATTAAGGGTGAAAGTAGGGGAGGATCCGTCTAAAAAAATCTAGGAAGGATTAAAAAGTAAAAATTTTTTATTGCAGCCGAAAGATTAGGCTGCAGATTAACTGTAATACAATGAAATTCAAGCAAACATTTTCTTTATTCAATATTCAAAGAAGTAAGAAATAAAACAATAATCAAAATAATTTGACAAATGTCTTAATGATTTTTTAATTATTCATTTTTATCTCTTCATATCCTACTCTTAATAACCTTCGATTAATTATTTTCTTTTAAATTTTTCTTTGAGTCGATTGACTATTTGTAAAACGTTTCTTTTCTTTATTTACATTTGTCGACATATTCTCTCGTTGCTGATTGTCTCTTTGATTTTGGAACCAATTCTACAACGAATAATAGTTGAATTAATATCAAATTATTACACACTCAAGTGAATAAAATTAAATCTTTTCTATCGTCATCAACAAAAACAAAAAAAAATCCTATATGATGTCTAATATCGTAGGTAATTCAGAAAAGATTAAAAAGAAAATGAGATACTTCATTAGTAGAGGTGAATGAGTACCTACATCGAATAGCTAATAAAAGTTCTCTAGGCTGATGAACTTAATTTTTAATTATGATTAAAAAAATTCGTTCAATTAAACCAACCTGGACCTGATTTGTTGTTAGTCCTATACTCGAACCCAAAGATTTCGCATCATGATCGTGCAGATTTGGATCTTTGTTGAAAATGTATTCCATTTGAAAACTTTGGAAATCATTTAACGCCTCAGAAGCTCTACTCCCCGGCTGGTTTATTTCATCAAGACTTTGCTCATCCAATGTAAAGAAAGAGGAATCCTCATCATCATCGAACGTGGTATTTTCATCCTTTGCGGCCATTTTATCCACGGCTATTGAACAATCTGTGAAGCCAGAAAAAAAAGAATAAAGTATCAAAGATAAATTCAAAAAATGTAATAAAGATGAGGAAGAAAGACATTCCATATTAGGTCGCAGTAAATATTACTGAATCAAAGGAAAATCCAACAATATATTATTGTTTGAGCTTTATCGCCATTATTGCATCGTGATAGGGAAATATGGCCAAACGATTGAAGAATTTGATCCATGAATCGAAATTATGGGTTTTATTCTCGTCGTGTTCATTGGATGAGTTTTTTGATCAGTGCTGAGACATTTATAATTAAACTCAGGAAGTCGAGGACCAACTTACCACGAAATTAACACAAATTTTAGTATATATCTGCGTTTTTTGGCGCGCAAATTACTGCAAACGTCCGTTAATGTTGATTACTTGATTAAAACTGCCCATGACCATCCATACCATTGTTTGGATGAATATTTAGATATGGGGGGTGACATACCAGACATTAAATTTTGTAAATACTTTATGAAATATAGGCGATATGATTCAATGAGTAAGTTTCTGAATTGGAAGTTAGAAACTGTAGAAGAGCGAAGAAAGTACAAGAGTCAATTTAGAAATGATGAATTTATGATTAATCATCTTATGGAAATATGGAAATCGAATGAAGAGAATTGTAATGAAGCTCATAAGAATTCTCAACTATTTTTACACTTTTTATTGGAGTCTGAAGAAGAAGTCCTGCAAGTGAAGGAGAAAATAGTTCTTACTAAGGGCCATGAGATATGTCATCACTGTATTTCATTGAGACGTACAGAAAAAGCTGAGAGTTTCGTTCGATGGGCTTTTGCTGAACAAGAATCAATTGATTCTTTTATCAAGGAATTCATTTTATCAGATGATGGAGTTAAATCATGTGTTGATTTATTACATGCACTTCTTAAATATTGTATTGAGTCGGACGAAAGATCGGAAATATTAAGAAAATTTGGAAATTTTTGGTTAAAGCCTTTAGAAGATATTGAGATATTCCGAACTAAATTTGTATCACAAGTGCCTCAGTCTGATGATAATACATGGAAGAAAAATTATAAAACGTTTATGGATTTTATGGCAAATTTGAATGAAAATGCTCAATGAATATGAAGAGTCATAGATGCTTTTTATTACTTTTTCTACTTTTCTATCATGGATGTTGAACTTAGGAATTAATGGTAGGTAAAACTTTGAACTAAATAATCATAAGTAATAACGGTGATAATAATAATTAAGTAAATAATACAAATAATCATGGTATTTTTAAACTAAGTCAGTTGAAGTAAATGAAATGGAAAATCCACAGAATCTATCATATTTTTATCTTGATAATACAGTAGGTTCTTTCAAAGACCCTAATTTTTACAAATTATCTTCATTTACATTCTTTACTGTACATTGTCAGTCTGTATAATTATAAGTTCACCCAAGACCTCATAAAATCTTGGGCCCTTTGTCAAAGGTCCAAAAGTCTTCAATTGTTGGGTCTTTAAGAGAATCTACTGTAGGTATGGGCTATGAGAACTTCTTGAAGTCTCTGTGACTGAGTACTTAGATCATTTGATACAGTTGACATTGGAAGTCTTAATGTAAACGTAGCCCATGTCTGATCTATTGTATCCAATATTGGCATAATATGTAAAATATTTTTATAGACTATATAATGATATCGTGAATATAGTTTAAATAGTCTTGATAAGAACATTGAAGGAAAGATTATAGCTTACGTTTGTTGATGTGAATTGTTTATAACAGTTTAATTGTCATAAACAATTGAAAACGAGTGCTATGCAATACATTTGAGTTCTTCCAACGCGTAATTTTTTCTTTCACTAAGACAAAGTTACAAACTGTGTAATATGAATAAAAACCTAATTAACTTCCCAGTGGGAAGTTATAGTAATGGGTCCGATTTTGCGAATCGCTAGTTTTGACATATCTCCACGTTTTAAGGTCCCCAGAGTTGAATACGATAGTTTTTACGTGGACGTCTGTGTGTGTGTATGTACGTATGTGCGTATGTTCGTACGTGCGTTCGGAATTATTTTTCGCCTCGATTATCTCGAGAACAAAAAATGATATCGACGTGGGACCAACTGCATTCGATGCGTAATTACGTAACTTAGAACTGATTAGATTTTCAGCAAAATCGGTCCAGCCATTTTTTTGGCAGAATCAAAAAACTGGAAAAAAAGGAAATTACTTGAATTTTGCAATTTATAAATTATACCATTTTTTAAACAAAATTTCAAGATCATTGCAGAAATATGAATATTAAATGATCGGAATACTTGTATGGATATATGATGACAATAATTCATCGAAAAAAAAAAATTTAAAAAACAATATCAGCAATGAAAGAATTTTAAACTCGTGTCAGAATTGAGAAAACAGCGTTAAAGACGCTATAATAGTCGATAATAATTGTCAATGATATGGAATTGTGTTCATAACAATTGAACATTGTTACTAACAAGTGATTATTGATCATAGTATATTTAAATAATAAGTTTTAAATTGTTATAAACAATAAAAATAGGGACCCTTTCTATATATATGAGTACTTTTAACGCATAATTTTTTCGTTTACTAAAAAAATGTCACCAACCGTATGCCATAAATGAAAACATACTTTTTTCGTGTATAACAATGAAATTCGTTGTAAATAATGAAAAAAAGGATCTATGAGGTACATTCGAATTCTTCTAACGCACAATTTTTTCTTTTACCGAAATAAAGTAACTAACCATATCAAATGAAT